TTCTTGCGAATCGCGACCGCCGGCTCGTCCGCCAAATCCCGCATCAGCCGCTTCAGCTCAACGCTGCCCTCCCGCTCCTCCTCCACGCCCTCCCGGCCGTCCTCCGGCCACTCCTCCCGCCCCGTGTACTCATACGGCCGCTCTCTCCCTCGGCGCGGCGGGCTGTAGCTCGGCCGGTACCCGTACCCGCCTCCGCCCCTGCGTGTCGTCTCCACGCGTCTCCGCACCCGCTGGTTCTCCGCCGCCCGCGAGTAGTAGTACGCACCCGGCCCCGCGCCTGAGCGCTTGCGAGAATAGAGCCCTGATTCCACGCGATATCCGGGTGGGGCAGCATCGGTCGAGGGCAGCCCGACCGCCTCGAGCTGCTGCTCCTTGAGGAGCAGCTCCTGCAGGACGTCGGACTTCGTGAGCACCGTCTGGGCGCCGCCTTCCTGCCGGATGGCTTCGGCCAAAGCGCGTTGCTCGCGCGGCGCGGTCTTCTCGAAGAACGCGATCACGACGTCCACCCTGCGCTCGCCCGTCAGTACGCAGAACACGCGCAGTACACAGACTACGTACTTGGTAATCAGCGTGTCCAGCTTGTCGTTCGCGCGGTCGACTCCGAGCCCCGTGTGGATGGAGATGGCGAAGTTGAACTCGCCCTTGCGGTCGCTGAACAGCTGGATGTACTCCTTCAGCGTCCCGTCCCAGCTCGGCGCCTTGAGCACCTTCACGAGCAGCCGCTTGCGCGAGTACGTGTCGCACGCATTTGCGCACTCCTTGATGTCCTTCGCCGTCTTCTTGATGAGGTCATCGAGGCGCGCGCCGATGCTGAGCCCGTCGCGGCCGACGTGGTTCGTGCGGACGCCCTGCAGTCTAATCGTGTGCGAGTCGATTAGCAAGGCCGGCGAGCGAGGGTCACAAAGAACGCACTGCAGAAGCGCAGCCATCATGTTGCGCATTTCCAGGAACAGCAGGTTGATCTTCTTGTCGTTGTCGCGGCGCTTCGCCTCGAGCTCGACCACCACTTTGAACGCGCCCACGGCAAGGGCAAGGAACGGGTGTATTTGTGCAACGGCGTCGAGCGCGCGCACGAGCGGAGGCAGGCTCTCTACGAGGCCGTTCACGCCGTCCATCAGGATCCCCAGGCCATCGTTGTTGCTGCTAGCTTGTCCTGCTGCGTTCACTTTATCTACGAACTCCCCCTCTAGCCTGCCTGGGCGCGGCGTGAGCGAGATGCGGCAGGTATGTTAGAGTAGTCGTCGGAATCGGTACTTACCTGCACGACCAGGCTCGCTAGGCTGAACTGCTCCGTCGAGAGCGTCCTGAGCATCCTTGAGCTCCCGAGACGAGGACTGTTCCTCCTTTGATTTGTTCGCGTTCGAGGACATGCTCGGTGTTCCTCATGGAGGTCCGATGTGAGCTGGTTAAAGCGCGGGGATCCTAGGACACCGTCCGCGGAGAAGGTTGAAGTAAACGAAGCGAGCAAGCACGAGAGCGCCACCGCCTGACATCGGGACCATCGATAAACTAGCACCGGTTTCCAGCTGCGCGCACGATGTCGCGCGCACAATGCGGGTAAGCGTGTTCTGGGCGTGCGCCACAGAGCAGCGAGGGCAAAGTCGCAAGAACATCCGCAGGATTTCCAGCACAGGTACGTCCCGTCAATCCTCGTCACGCGAGAGCGACAAGGTCCATACTGATGTATGCGGTCAATGTGTTCAAGGGGTTCCAGCATTCAGCAGCTCAAAGCGGGTAATTGAAAAAAAAATGGATAAGCTGAACCAGGGTTACAGATTATGTGTAAGTGAGCCTGGTTGAGCGTACACCACGCTACAGAGCAGCGCCGTGCGGCACTTGCAAAGTCGAATAAACATCCGCAGGACATCCAGCACAGGCGTGTCCACTGTCAATCCTCTTGACCCAATATCGACGAGGATGCATATCGACATAGGCGGTCAAGTGGTTCCAATGCATAGCCTGTAGGAAAGCCTAGTTCAAGGTAGAGTATCCCGTGGTACGATAGAATCTCCTGCGCCGATGCGATAGCGAGCAAGAACATAGCAAGGACAGTGCACGAAGAGATGGAGTGAGTAGAGGAGGCTTTCTCAGTGTGAGGCTTTCTTTCCCGAGCCCTAGAGGTTTATGGGCGTCTGTTACCCGTGGGAAGCATTGCAAGCAGGACCACACAAAGAAAGCGGGCGAGTGGCGGTGGCTCAGGATGCGAGCGGCAGTGGCCTCGCTCCCGACGACCACCATCCCATCCCGAGCCTCCTCCTTTATCTCTCCTCCTCGCCGTCTCTCATCGCCAACATGGCCTCTCTTCTCGAGCGCATGAGCCTCCCCGCCGGTTCCGGGCCCTCCGTCGGCCCCGTCCGCGCAAAGTCCAACCGTGCCGCAGCAGCCTCCGCCGCCGCGCCTTACGTGCGTCCCCCTCCCCGCCCCTCTCGCGTCTCCGTCTCCCCGCTCACCCCGCGCCCCGCAGAACCGGAAACAGCGCCCGCCCAAGGCGGACGTGAATGACACCTGGAAGCACGACATGTTCGGCGCCGAGCCGCGCTCCCTCGCCACACGCCTCACCACCGCGCCCGCCGGCGCGCCGAAGCTCAACCTCGGGCTCGCCGACCGCGCCCTGCGCGAAGCCACGGGCGAGAAGGGCTTCTCGATCAAGGGAGCGAGCTCGCGGGGGAACGTGGTGCAGGTTTCTGGGCTCGCGAAGGGCACGACCGCTGCCGACGTCGAGGTGCGTTCTTTCTTCCAGCGCCTCTCCTGAGCTGCCCTAACGCGTCGAGCAGGCGATTTTCAAGCGTTGCGGCGCGATCACCTCCGCATCTCTGCACTCCGCCTCACCTGAGCCCGTCGTGCGGCTCACCTACAAGAACGAAAAGGACGCGCAGGGCGCGGTCGCCAAGTTCCACGGCCAGCCCGCAGACGGCCGCACGCTCGAAGTCAAGATCGTCGGCGGCGTCAACGCGACGCTCTCCGGCCGGATCGGCGCTGCGCTCGTCGAGGGCAGCGTCGACGTCCTCATGGGCGACGACAACGCCAATAACGGGTCGTAAGTGCCGCTCGCAAACGGCAGCCATTGTTCTCGTCAGCTGACCGCCTGTGCAGCAAACTACGATCAGACGAGCTCCTCAGCAAGGACTCCCGCGCGCACATCCTCGTCGCGCCCCCGGGCGCCGACCCGAAGGACTACGTGCAGAAGCCCGCGCGGGGCAACGGGCGCGGACGCGGTCGCGGCCGTAGCGGTCGCGGACGGCGCGGTGGCGGAAAGATGGACGTCGACCGGTGAACGGCTCCCGCTCCTCTCGTATCCTTCCAGAGCCGCCTCTCTCGCGCAGGGCATGCCCGGCTCGCATCCCCAGCCCGCTACAGAAGACACACGCACGCACATGCCTCCCTCCTCTCCTCTCCCTTCTCCCACTCGGACTCTCGTCGAAATCCAATATAACGCCCCGCCCTCCGCCGCATACCATATACTCTACCTCTATCTACCCCGCCGCCCGCTCTACTCCTATTCGCCCGTGCCCGCTGTAGTCCGTGTCCCCCCACTCGCCATGTCTCCCCTCCGTCTTTCACTCTGTCTATTCGGTCTCGTCGTAGTCGCGGTCCGGCTGTCGTACCCATGCTGTCTCTGTCTCTCCAATCTCGTACTGCCTATCGCGCAAATGCAATGCATACGGACGCGCCCTGTGCTTTTAGTGGACCCTGCGAGCCCGCTGTCCGTCGTCCGTCTGCGCCCGTCATTGTACTGGCTCGTGCCTGCCGCACATTGGAGAGCGATGCACGATGCACCGTTGCGAACGCAGGTGCACTTGCGCCACACATTGCGAACCGGCCCAGTCGCGCCACGAGATTGGTATCGCACCTGAGCCTGAACGTACAAACGCTCAAACCTGAAGCTCTGCACCTCGGTTGGCAATGGGGGGCTATGCCTCTCGCTGCCGCACGCCCCGCTCCATACGCTGTATGTACGTAACTGCCTACCGCCGGGAGGGGTTTCAAACTACAGAGTGAGAGTCACCGATAAACACGCGTAGTCCCGGCGTGCGTGCCCGCATCGTCGGCCATAAGCACAAGCACACATCCTAGTACTGGTGTCCATGCACTGTGCACACCTCTCCGCAATCCTAGGCCTCCTCCACATTCCCTCGTCGCCCCGAAGTTCACATCCAAACGGAAAACCCCGACCCGCCAAGTCAGCACGTCTCGCCTCACCTCCCCCCTTACAATATAGAAACAGCTAAACAGGCTCCGGCACGGCGCTATAGTGTAGTGGTTATCACTTGGGATTCTGAGCAGCGTTCCCAAAACCCAGGTTCGAGCCCTGGTAGCGCCTCGTACATGGTTGTGTCGATAAGTTTTTCCCTCGGCGTCCTCCCAGCATAGGCTGTACACGTCAGGCTTGAGCATGCTACCGAGACTTTTTTTATCTCGTTTCAGGAGGAACGGGAGCGTCGGGTTCTTGCCTGAGGCTAGGCCGCCGTGCACTCGGCAGGACCGAGCTTGCCACCAATTCCAGGCAGCGCAACCACTGAACGAGCGCCTAAGTGGCAATAGTAGTACAGTACCCCCAAGGCCTGAGGCCTGCACAATTGGCAGACTCAGACTCGCTCGCTCTCGGCGCAGGCTCATCTAAGCCGCGTCTCTTTCAGAATCATTGCATATTCGAATGTATTATGTGCTCGCACAGGCTTGCACTAGGATAACATACGGGTCGCACTATGCTGAGTCATACCCCACGTTCTCTCGGAGTAGGCTCGTAAAACGTTCCGAGCGCTCTGCCAGCATTCATCCATCTACGTCTCTGGAGTTGCAACTGCGAGTAGAGCAACACGCCGCTCAAGAAGAAGCATTCGCACCGGGCCCACCGACGACCACGCCCTTCGTGCGGTTGAACCTCGAAATAGTCGCGTCGGACAGTTGGAGGTGCTGCTTCACAAGCGCGGGCGGCGTCAACGCGAGCCACTGTAGCGAAGGCGACCCAACATCAGAAGAGCTCGTGCAGCAAAGGGATTGGGTAGAGCGGCTTACCTGCGCGAGGCTGACGTCCTGGAAGACATCCGAGTTGAAGATCTCGAGGAACTTCAGGGTCGTGTTGCCCGTGTTCTCGACGTAATGGCCTGACACGCGTATCGAACCAGTCAGGTATGGTCCGGATGGAGGCAAAAGCGCACACGTACCGTAGGCAGTCGGAATGTAGCTGATGTCTCCGGGCTGAGAAGACGGTGATGATCGGTTCAGCTCAGCAACGATGTATATAATCTGCAACGTGGCTTACCTGGTAGTCGAAGGTCTGCGCTATGGCGGTTCCAGCGAAAAGCGTCACTCGTGCAGTGCCCTCACTAAGGCCAGAGAATGATCAGCACTGATTCGCCTCATCCGCCGATCGACAGGTCATGCTGACTTACAGGAAGAAGCCCCATTCGCTTTGTGTCGGGTGCCACTGTAGAGTGCACATCAGTCCACCATTCTTGGTCGGATCCTATCCAACCGGAACTTACATGCATCTCGCGCATCGCTCCAGGCTCGACCGTGACCTCAGCAACGGCGATCTTCGTAGCCACCTTGAACGTCGTCGAGTCCGCGATCTTGGCCGTGCCGCCTGTGTACTGTGTCGGCGTCACCTCCGAAAATGCATATGAGAACGGCTGCGGGATCTCGCCCGCGGGGCTCGTCGGCGGCTGCTGGTTGTCCGGCGGCGGCACTGCGGCGCCCCGAGTCAGCGTTGGCGTTCAATCTATATGCGGGAACGATGGGAGAAAACATACCGCCAGGGAAGATGTAGAGTTGCGAGCCGGGAATGTCGTCCCAGTCGGCTATGTTGTCCTGGAAGTTCTTTGCGATTACTTCTTTGGGAGTGTGCGCAAGCCAGTCCGTGAGCTACGGCGGCGACTCGTCAGTTCTGGGGTGAAACGATGTGCTTGCGTGATAACTCACCAAAAGCGTGTCGTCGTCGTTAAAGTTGCCATCAGGGAAGATCTGTCGTACTGGTAAGCACGGGCCGAGCATAGTACATGCCGTACCACTATGGACGCACCAGAAGAAACTCTGTGCCTTCGGAGGAGTCGTTCGTAGCCTGGAGAGAGTGGGGAATACCAGGTGGGAAGTACCACAAGTCGCCTTGGCGCACTGTCGCAACGTAGTTCCGCCCGAGCTGGTCCACGGACGAGATCTGTGTCGAGCCCTAGAAATGTGCCATGTTCCAAATCAGACGTCTCAGTTGTTGGGAGCCCGCAGACGTACGCTCAGGACGTAAGCCCACTGTAAAAAGCAAGTCCGTAGTTAGCATCCGGCGCATCACAGCCACAAAAGGCAGCGCGCTTGCTCACCTCGGCGGTCTGGTGCCAATGAAGCTCGCGGATAGCACCCGACTCTAGGCGCATGTTTACGCCGGCCATAGCTATAAACGAACATCAGCGCCGAACAGGCGACGGCCAAAGGTCTGGTTTGAGGTGCCTGCGCCATACCTGTAGCAATAGGCATCTGCTGCACTGCAATGAGATGGAAATGTCAGCGTGGCATCGATGGTATACAAGGCCGGTCGTACCGTTCTGCTGCCGGACCCATCCACCCGTGTTTAGTTGTTGCTTGCTTAGGCTGAAAGGCCACTTGGCGTTGCCACTATTCGTTTCGACGTCAGATTTGCTCCAGCATATCACACAGAAGGGGCAACTCACACCGTGCCTTGATCCGTCGTCGGGGGAGCCAGGATATCCGGGTTCTGCCTGTCGATGGCGACGTTCTGCGGGCCCAGGATGTTCGCTCCGAGCGAGCCACGTTCAGGCTGCGGGTCCGTTGTCGTCGTCTCGTTCCATAGCCAGTAGTTAGGGTCATCACTCGCGAGTGGGACCGTGGGGCTGGGGGACGCGCCGCCGCTCGTGCTCGTCGCAGCCTCTGCGATGCTCGACGAAGCAGACGAGGATGCGGAGACGTCGCCCACCGGGATGGCGGCGGCGAGCGAGCCATATAGGACGGCGCAGAGAACGGTGGCGAGGAACTTTCCCATGACAGTAGGTGTGAGGGTGTAGTGGTTGGGAGGAAGTCTAGAAGGCGGAAGTGGGGGATAGAGCGAGTCGAGGATGCTGCTGCTGCAGTTCCCCTTCGACGAAGGTGGCTTTTATACACGTAGCACCTCCACATTTTGGCGACCCGGCGCGAATACCTGCAGGGAAGTCCAATGTCGTGCTTTGCTGGACGAGTGCTGAGCGTCCCGCTCCGCGCCGAGACAAGGCCAAGCAGGAGTGCGACTTCGGCGAGCCCCACGCCGGGAGCGCGAACCACACGCGCGCATGCGCGTTCCTTCTTTGGCATCACCACCTCGCGACAGAGATGCTTCGCGGAGCGCTACGTGGATTCTGCATCGTCGAGCGATCCATGCCCGCACAGCTGCAACCATCGAGGTTGAAACGGCCCTAGGGTCGGGCATGATGTCAGCGGCAGTGTACGAATTCCGAATTGACCTCAGCTTGCCGTTATTCTACGCGCGCACCAAAGTCTATTCCTGTAGCCACCGGCTTCCGAGTCTTCGCGGCACGAGCGTTTGTGGCGGCCGCAGAACACATCGTTATCCGGATTTTCTCGCGGGACGGCCGTCACCATCAGCTCGGCGGGTTAAAATGACGCGCTTCGGTGCCGCAGAAGCAGGCCGTGAGCTTGAAGAAACGCTGCAAGCTCGGCGGGTACGTCAAGATGGTTCACGTTCTATGTCCGGATACTCCGGTGCGCACATGCACGGGCGAGCGGGACGCCGAGGATTGTTTGTGAATATTGATGGCAAGGTGTTTGAGGGCTGGTCGCAAACCATGTGCTGAACCCGACGTCTCTGACGGGCGTGGGTGACCTGTTAATCGGAATACTGCAAATCGTTTTGCCTACCTCTTTCATCGCCTCTACGGCGAAAAACGGGACAATCCCCCGAAACACTGCATTGACTGGTAGATGCATAGCTTGTGGATAGTGTACATTTTAGCGCCGTGCAAATATAGAGCAACGCTCTAAACCTACCTTGTACGCAGGCGGCTTTTGATTGGGCCTCTTGAACGCTCCGACGGCGGCCTTGTACCCCGAAATATCGAATAGCGCGGAGATACACCGATGATGGGCAGATGCTGGAGCGACGGATCGGATTACGAAAACGTCCTGAGCGAAGCGCAGCAATACTCATGGTCCAAAATTCGACAGGCGAGTTGTCACCCTGAGTCCTTCATAGAGCAGTATCATCAGCATGTCGGGCTGCGGCGGATGGTGTGTCCATTAACAGAACGTATCCGGCGGCGTCGGAGACACAATGTCTCGAACTTGTTGAAGCGAGTGCGCCTCGCAAGCCTAAAGGCGAAAGGGCGAAAGGGCGAAAGGGCGAAAGGGCGGTCAGGGGTATATGGGCATTAAGGTGGGTCGCTCATGAGGACACGTACAGCCAAAGACGCGCTCGGATCTAATCCTGCTGGCAGACCTTGCCCGGTACAAACTGAACCGGTTTCTATACGTGCTTCCTATCCCCATATCTCGTGGTCTTGATAAATCGTGGAAACGGGCGTGAATCCATTCACAAATTCGCCTTACTCGGGATGCGTGTCTGCAGAAACGATGGTCATCATGAGTGTAGTGTACAAGATAGAAAATGTACCAACGCATACGATCATTTCGTACATGCATGTGTCTTTCCTGAGGGTCCCAGAGGCTCGAACAGGTACGCAGTCGGCCTCTAACGGTCTGCAGAGTCGGACCTCAGACGTCTAGCCGGAGATTTTCTCATCCACGAGAGCGTGCGAGTGGCACTTGGTACGGTCTCGAGATTGTTGTAGCGTCGACCTGAATCTTGCCTAGCATAATGGTCCTTGCATTAATGCTAGCGGAAGGGAAGACGCGTGGTCAGACGTACAGCACATTAGCAGTCGTAAACGGTCTGCTGCCTTCCTCCGCGTCTGTCATGCCGCGCGTCGAAGTTGCTGCCCAAACCCAGGGGGCCAGAGTCCTGGTCTACGGTGTTACATTGTGTTGCAATACTGAGGCGGAAGAACGGTGCCTAAAAACGGAGCGTCGCCTCATGTTGGCGGCTTCTGGCTCGGGTCGCCCTGCGATGCCGTGAGCACTGAGGAGCGCGGGGAAGTCGAAGCAGAGTTAGGCGTGCATTGTCCGAGCCCCGTGTGCACGCCGCCTCGCCGAGTACGTACGCGTATTGTATTGTGTGATGAGAGCACATGAGACCGCTGCACCGATAGGCGACATACATATGGGCGATATTGTGAGATGTGCGACTGGTGTGTGTAGTGTCCATTGCCCTGTTGGGACTTGAACGACGTCAATAAGGCTTGGCACGATATAACCTTCGAAGTTCTCTACCTGTAGACCTCCAAGGAACATCGAAGTGACCAGTCGAACACTGCGCGGAGCCGTGTCATATCGTGTGATATTGCCCCCGGCCTGCCTCTCTTGAGCATAGTCCGAGCACGTCGGATCCAGGACTTGCGGAGGACATGCGGGAATGAGTATAGAGTGCATTCGTACCTCCGAGCGCTGTTGCTGATGGAAACGCACATGTCTCCGGGGTGCGAAAAGGGGAGCCTCGGTCCATACAATTGGAAACGCAACGCGGCAGGTACGATACGTCTGCTTGTCAGGGACGTCCTCGCAACTGCGGGGCCGGAGACTGGAGCGTGGCACGGTTCGCGGGTCGATCGAGTGCCCCATGACTGTCAACTGCGCGGTGAACTCGCATTCGGTGCCTATCCGATCCCACCAGCAGGCTGGATGCTGGCGGGATACCCGATCGCGAGGTGAGCTTTCTCCCAGCACGCCGGTCATCATACGACCGCCCATGCAGAGCACATAACAAGACAGCGACCGCTTCGCCGATCGTCCATCCGGGGCACGTTGTGGGGTCGCGAAGAGTCTTTTCTTCCGGCGCAGACACGTGCCAAAGCGCCTGCACCCACAGACCGAATGCGACGTACTGATAGAACACGCCATCGGCCTCGCTAAAACACAAGGATGCGACCGTTCCGGACTGGAGACAACATTCGCGGGCGGGCCAGGCTGGTGCATGGGAGGGCAGCGGGCGCTCGGGCTGCAGAGGGTTATATTACTTACAGCATGGGGCTGAAATGGAGCGAGGGGCGTGGTCGGCAGAGAAGTACGAGTGAGGCGTTGCCGCGCAGAACTTTCTCGTGAGACGACTGACAACACGTACCATCTGCGCGAAATACACGGGGAGAGGACGTGCGCGTACATATACCCGGGCATTCATACCAGGCACGTCCGCCCCCCGCGATCCACATCACATCCGGTACCCTGTACTTGCACTCACCATGATGCATAGTCACCGCGCGCTCACGATGGAGAAGAAGGTGCTCCCGCTCACCCCGCTGTCGTCGTTGCGGGTCGAGCGCCACCAGATCCCCGCGGCAGGGCTCATCCCAAACACGTCCATCCAGCAGAAGCCGCTCATCATCTACCGCGGTTTGTTCCCGGCGCCACTACCATCCGCGTCGGAAATCGAGGCGCACATAGCGGCGGTGGGCGTGTGCGAGCCCATGTGGCGGTATCCGATGTACCCGGACGACCACTTCCACACAACCGCGCACGAGCTCGTGGTGATCCATCGCGGGCGCGCACGGCTGAACTTTGGCGGAGAGGACTGCAAGGGCGCGGTGGTGACGGAGGCGCAGGCGGGGGACGCCGTGCTGATTCCTGCGGGGGTGTCGCACCGGCTGGTGGAGGACCTGGAGGGCGAGTTCGAGATGGTTGGGTCATACCCAGTCGGGTCGGAGCACTGGGACATGTGCTACGGCCACGCGGGCGAGGAGGAGCTGATTGCGAACATCAAGAACCTCGACTGGGTCAGCAAGGATCCGCTGTACGGCGATGGGGGACCAGCAGCGAGCTTATGAGCGTTGACATGGTGGAGAGAGGGAAAGGTGTGGGCGCTTGGCTGTAACCGTTCTTCGACCACGACTACCATGTACTTTTGATACCCCCGAAGATTCCTCCGCTTTCTTCAATCTCATTCAAGTGTCAATACACCTGCTCGTAACCCGGTTTGGGTTTAAATGATCATGAAGCTCAGGGGTACTCTCGCCTTCCCTAATCTCCGCGTACACGTGGTTCCAGCTTGCGTGCCGCAAACTTTATGAAAATGTGTGGCCTACTTCACATCCCTCTATATTTTTGTCGATGCTGATATGTTTGCGTCAAGTAGGAATATGTGGAGAGAGGCGAAGTACCCTCGCACGGAGGTCAACCAGCACTTCTTGCCCCTCTTATCCATTCGACGCCACGAGCCTCCACGAGCTTGAGGCATTGAGTATAGGCAGCAGGATTGTCGCACAGTGCTTAATAGACCTAACCGTCAGTCGTGCGAGCCCGTGGCGGACGCACTCTGACACTGGTATCCTTTGAAGTTATCAGAGGTAGGCCAAAGTCGTAGTAGGTATGTGCTACTTAGTGCTGGTTTGGAAGCGGGCCAAGTTCGTGGCACAGCAACTTGAATCCTACGCCCGTCTTATCCACTATAACCTCCTTTGTCCACAGTCCGGTTAGGTAGGACAATAGGATCCTTACCCTAACCCTCGTGGGTGGTGGCTAAATCATCACGTATATTCCCGCCGTGCAACGGCAAGCTCCCGGTACGCCCCATTACCCACTGTGCCCTCCTACGTGCATTTTGACGCAGGCATCCAGACAATTCGGCTTTGAAAGCCGCCATCATGCAAGACAAGATCACCATCGTCACCCCGGAGGACTTTCTGAATGAGTTCGTGGCCGAGGCCGATGTCGAGAGGCCAGAAGATACCAAGGATATATTCAAGTCTTTAGAAACATTCTCAACCGAGCGATGCATGGGCGAGCAGATCGTAAGTGTCGCTACACCCCACCCCCTGTCCGACGCGGTATAACTCACCTATTTCGTATAGATCAATGCGCTCAACGGCGCCCGACTCTGCCCTGATTTCACCTTCGCCTCTACCCCATTCACGGGAAGCAAGAAGGCGGCATTGAATGAGGTAGTTACAGGAGGTCTATATTCGACGCATGGCGCTCCGGAGCAAATTTCCTCGTGCGCCATCGACTGGGCCACGATCGAGATGTGTATCGAGTGCAAAGCGGGTCTTGTCTCCGGTGACCCCTTTGATGAACGTCGACCCAACAGCGCTCCCGACGCTAAAGAACGTCAGAAAAATCTCGGCCAGATTCTGACCCATTCTCAGCTTGTCTACGACAACCAGCAGCGTACGCACCAGTTCATGCTCATTTTCCTCGGGACCTCCGCCCGCATTGTCTACGTCGATCGCTCTGGCATCTTCGCCACCAAGAAATTCGATTACAAGAACGACGCGACCCATGTCGTCGAGTTTGTGTGGCGCCTCGCCCGTTTGGACCCATCGCAGAGGGGGCACGACACGACCGCCGAGCGCATTCCGCACTCTAGCACCGTCGGGAAAGCGATGAAGGCGATTGCGGAGAAGGTCCCCGACGATTCCGAAGACTACGCATACGTGCAGTTCAGGAAGCTGCTCAACTCTTCTTCAACTTGGTGGCGTCTCACGGTGAAGGACGAGCTCGCCGCGGAGGGTGCGAAGAAGGAGCGAAAGTTCCTGGTTGGACAACCCCACTTCAGTGCCCCAGGGGTTTCTGGGCGTGGGACGCGCGGGTACATCGCTCTCGATGTGGATAGTCTCTCCTTCGATGCGGGTGGTCTTTCTCTGGCTGCGAATGGCGTCGCCCTCAACGCGGATAAACTCGGAACACCCAGATTTGTCTACCTCAAAGATACGTGGCGGGTTGTGCACGAGGATATCGACAAGGAAGGCACCATCCTTCGTACCCTCAACGGCTTCGATGTACCCTACGTCCCCACGGTCTTGCACCACGGCGACCTCGGCCAGGTCACCGTTAGCCCTCAGCTCTGGGTCACGCTGAAGAAGCACTCGCACTACCGACTTGTGGTGAAGGAAGTTGGAAAGCCGCTGGAGACGTTCGACACCGGCGAGGAGCTGATCGGTGTCATATATAGCTGCGTAATAGGTTTGTGATCCGCCCTTGCGCTTGCTCTTCATAAGATCATTGATCTCATTTGTCGTTCACCTACTAGCGCACTGGAAGGCTTACGAGAAAGGTATTATACACCGGGATATCAGTGTGAGCAACATTCTTATATACACGGATGAGAGCGGCTACATCTGCGGGCTGCTCAACGACTGGGAGCTATCAAAGCGCCTCGACAGCCGCGCCTCACAAGGTCGACAACTGGATCGTACTGTAGGTCGCCTCACTTGTTCAATGTGTTTTCACTCGCTGATCACTACGCGTTCTCTCAGGGAACTTGGCAGTACCTCTCGGCCGCTGCCTTAGACGATCCGAAGAAACGAATCGACATCCCGGACGAGCTAGAATCCTTCTTCCATGTTATCCTGAACATGGCTATCCGCTTTCTTCCCCATAACTGCGGAGACCACGTCGGTCCTCTTCTCTACGACTACTTCGAGGATTACATGAAGACGCCGAATGGAGAATATCGCTGTGGGCTCGCGAAGAAGGTGGTAATGGAGACCGGCTCATTCCGGCTCGAACATCACGCCACTGGGGAGCGAGGAGAACTTACGTTCTTGCTCCCTATCCCCGACCCATCGGACGGGGACTCATCTGACCCCGACACGTCTTCACCGGTACAATCCGTCGACGGCCTCGTCTCCGACTCATCTTCACAGCCTGAGGCGCACCCAATCAACAGCCTCATTCGCGACCTACTTTGCTGGTTCTCCGCACACTACCGCCTCAAGAAGGAGCTTGATACCCCCGCTTTGGTGCCTCCGCCCCGGAAGGCAGACTCAACAAAACCCCAGCGGGTAAAGACTGCACTCCAAGCTGGACGATATGTTGGTGGTATAAGCAGTCATATCGAGAAAGATACCGCGATGCGGGCCGACCTCGAGGAGTTGAAGCGCCTAGCCAAGCCACTGGAAAGCCATGAGGCCTTTCTGTCGCGCCTCGTGCAAATAAATCAAGAGGTATGGCCTCTCAAGGACGTGGGTCCAGACAAACGTTCGCTAGGCAGATACGATCTTTCCCCTGAGATGTATTCCACTTGCATATCCGTCGGCACCTCCTCTACTGCCCCCAACACCACGTCCGCCACCGTCCCTGAGGCCACTCCTGAACCTGCACCCTTTCCCGCCTCGAGGCTCCCGACTCCGCCCCCTTTGACGGAGCAGCATCTTGAAACCCCATTCCCGGCCGCTTACTCCGACGCTGTTCCGCGAGATGATTAGACACCTCAAGCGCCCCAGCAGCAACACCGACGGGCTCGAGCCGCACTCGCCGCCGCTGAAGCGCGTGCAGCGCGACTAGGTTCAGGAGCTTTTCGTACCATCCACCGTCGCATCACCGATTGGCTCTACGGCATCTTCTTCCCACACGAACGTTCTCTCCGCGCTCGGGCCGACCCTCACCGCCGCGTTGTCTGTACTATTTTACCCGTCATCTGTTCAGTGCCGTCGCTCATGCTTCTTCCCGTTTCGTATGTCTTTGCGCATCCTAATGCTACCCGCTTCAGAAGCCGTCAGTATAGACTAGCACGAGCGCCATGCTCGGGTGATCATGCCGCATATTGAAGGAAGGTCATTTTGACTGGAGATCGGGCTACGATGCACCAGTTTCGACTATCAGTATCCTCCCCAAGGTTCAAACTTCGCAAAGCGTCATGATTCAGCAGTCTAAAAGAGCAGGTGTAATTCCCCGCGCCTTCTAAATTCGGTTCGGGGCTCCTTTGCCATTCGACCAATAAAGCAATTGTCGACGCCGCCTCGTGACTCGTGGCTAAACCGTCTGGGCTTACTCCCGACCCTCTGGTACGTGTTACCGCCCAACTTCTCGTCAACCATCGCTTACACAACGATCGTCCAACTAGCTCTGCACTTCCACCGCACTGATACTACCCGATGGACGAATACTACACCAAGAGCGAGCTACGTGCTCTCGAGAACCAGGAGACGCTCGGCAAGATGATTCTCACCAGCCCCAAAAAGTTCCTAGCACACTACATGCCTGAGCTCGAGTCCTGCAGGGCACCGGAGGCCGAGCTCATATTCCAGTCCCTAGAGCCCATCAAAAAGGGCGATGACATATACGACATCATCGTACGCGTCGTGTTTTCGCTACCCTACGCTCTCATGCTAAGAGATCTTTCCACAGATGAGCACGCTGAACAAAGCCAATCTGTGCCCCGGTTACACATTCGTCTCTACTTCGCATCAAGACGGCGCGGACTCGGAAACGGTCGTGGGCGGAATGTATCCAGCCGAACGCGCGCCCAACCATCTGCTTTTTGACGAAGCAATCTCGCCGCGTACATCCATTTGGGCGGATATCGAGGTCTGCATCGTATGCAAGGACAATATGGCCGACCCCTTCGATTATATCGACCCCGAAGGCATGGCCGACGCTACAGAAATGCGGGCGGCGATCGACCAGATCTTGTCCTTTGTCCAAATCGTGTTCGACATCCAACAACGCACATCTCAGTTCGTGCTTTTCTTCCTCGACACTGGCGTCCGGTTCCTGCGTTTCGACCGCTCTGGTGCCTTTGTCACCAAAATGTTTGACTACGAGGCGGACCCGACCTATCTCGTCGACTTTCTTTGGCGTCTTTCCCATTCAAGACCTTCACAGAGGGGGCACGACGATACGGCAGAACGGATCGCGCACGACTCAGCTCTTGGACAGCAAATGAGGGCGATTGCTGATAAGTTGCAAGTCTCCGCCGACCCGAGGTTCGACATTGCCGACTACGCAATCGAGCAGTTCAAAAACTCCCTCGACACGTCGTCGCCTTGGTGGCGCCTTACCGTGAAAGACGAGCTCGCGGACGAGGGCGCACAGCGGGAGTGGAGGTATCTAGTCGGCAAACCCCATTCCCTATCTTCCGAGCTGTGCGGGCGCGGTTCACGAGGGTACGTCGCCCTCGACGCGGATAGCTTGGACGCACCGAGATTTGTATACCTCAAGGATACTTGGCGCGTCAGCTGGGATGGCATCGACAAGGAAGGCACGACACTCCGCATCCTCAACGGACAGGACGTCCCCTTCATCCCCACCGTCCTACATCATGGAGACCTCGATCAAATCGCCACCATGCCCAAAAGTGTGGTCAATACCCACCCCAAGACGTTCACGCACTACAGAATGGTCGTGAAAGAAGTTGGAAGGCCTCTGAAGCACTTCAAGAATAGCAAAGAGCTGATCGGTATCATAGGGTCTTGTGTGACGGGTACGTGGTCCATGCGCATGTCGATGTCCACCTGCTCAGCTGTGTATCTATTCAGCACACTCCAAGGCGTATGAGGCAGGATATATTCATGGGGATATCAGCGAGGGTAACATCCTCATATACGCCGACGACAAGGGCCGTCGTTGCGGGCTTCTTAACGACTGGGAGCTATCGAGACGCGTTGACGAACGCACTGGTGAGGCACCACGAGTCGATCAGTTGGTATGTTCCACTCCGGTATAGCATTACGCCGTGTTCCTATGTATAACTCACCATCATCTTCAGGGAACGTGGACTTTCCTCTCGGTGCTTGCCAAGGACTTTCCGCGGAAAAGAATCTCCGTCCAAGATGAGCTGGAGTCGTTCTTCCACGTCATCCTCTTCATGTGCATTCGACACCTTGCCCACAACGGTCAGGACACCCGCTTTCTCATCCGCAAGTACTTCGACGACTGTCGGGTGCTCCCAAATGGGGATCGCCAATGTGGTTCTGTGCAGAGAGTCTTCATCCGAGACGGAGAATTTTCACTCTACCGGTTGGCTCTCGGCTACGACAGACTCACCTTCCTGCTTCCAGGACCAGAGGCGTCGTCGCCTGCTGTACTGCATCCCATCAACCACCTCATCGACGAGCTGTTCAACTGGTTCGCGGCATACTATGATATATGGAGACAGGCGCATCTGACTCGCTCTCGGACGCCTGCCCCCAGCGCGCCCGTGGTTGGATCGCGGCCAGGGCCGAAGATGGCAATGGCGATGGATGCCCGGGGTGGGGGTACGGGCGACAGCGTACGGGTTGAAGACGTTGCACGAGAGTCGTTGACACCGGAACAGATCGAAAAGCAGCGGTTCGACGAAGAAACGCGGCTCCTAGCTGTTCGGTTTGGCACGCATGCGGCCATGCTGCAGCGCTTTGCGGATATCAGCGACGAAGACTGGCCTGCGGACGACAAGTGCCCATATGCGATCACCATGGCACTGCAAAGGAACTACGACACCTCCCAGGCCTCTCCCGACGCTGTTCGCGCTTCCATATCTATGGTCGAAAAAGATATGGAACGTACTGGAGGAACCGGCGACACACCGGCGCTCTCGGACCACGAAGACAACCACCGCAAGCGCACGAGGAGCGACGAGGATGACCCTGAACCCTCGGAAATCCCAGCCAAGCGCGTACACCTCATATAAAGGGTATTCGTCGTAGTTTGGACGCGTGCAGGATTGCAGGTCAAGGACGCTAGTATTTGGGGTGTAGGTCGCAAACATTAGTACTCAGGACCTTTGTTGTTGGTTTCGACTTCTGTCTATACTGTACCCATTACGTCTGCATTATTTGAGCCATGAAATTGTCCGTAACTTGCTGCACAACGTTATAATCTAGTACGCTGTCTGATCCGTACGGCTGGCCACGGTTGTACTACTTTCTCTGCTTCTGCAGTGAGTAGTAAATCGATTCGGAAGGCATACGTTATAACTTTAGCCTACGCGCGCAACCTAAACATCTACACCAATGATAAAAACTCCCCCATTCAATTGTTCTAGGTTTTCCACCGCTGCGGTAGATCGAGGGAGGTGAACGTTTGAACGACGACCGGGGCCGGCAAGGGCCGGCAGCCAAGGCGTACTTTCAAGTGCACAGCCACTACATCTGGGCGTCTACTACTACATCCCCGCCCGCGACTGCGTCGTACCCTTAGGTCCTGAACCGTCTGCCTTGGAACAATCAAAGAGCACAAAGAGTTCGATAAATTTATACGTAGAGAGAAAGGAGCAAGAGCCATGGCTCAAGGACTTCACAGAAAAATCATTTTCGACGGTCGCGAGTGTTACGTCACGCTGCGTCACAGTTTAGCCAGACGCGTTTGGGCGCCTGGCGCGTTCAACTTCCTCTTAGCCACTGCTTGCGCGGGGCCTGATACAGCCGTCCGCCATTCCGACCTCTACGCCTTTGTGCGCCGTTTGGGGACAATCGTATTAAACGCCTGGCTAATCTGCCCGTGGCTAAACTCAGCGTATATAACTCTCTGCTCAGGCAGAGTTCCTGGTAAGCATCTTCGCTTCTCCAACACTGTCATGGGTTCCCCGCTGAAGAGCTTCCCTATCTCAGGGACTTGGTCGACACATATCTACGACCGCCTCAAACACAGAAAAGAGCTACGCATGGCAATGGGCGGCAAGATTACCCTCGTCACTCCCAGCGAGTTCTTGGCGGAATTCGTACCGAAGCCAGCCGGGATCACTAAGGACGCGTCGCTGTCTTCCATCCTGAGTTCGCTACCGAAGGAAACCAATGAATACAAGATGTATCATCCCTTGGTGAGGGCTCTTCCCTTTCTCACTCATGTAGCTGCTGACGAACGTGCTCAGGTGAACGCTCTGAATGGGGCCACCAAGCTCTGTCCGGACTTCACCTTCGTCGCGACACCCACTAAAGGTGACAAGGCGGCGGAACGGAATCAAGCCGTCGACTGTGGCTTATATCCCTCTCTCCACGCCCCAAGTTCTCATATCAACGATGAGGGTGAATTTGTCTCGCCCGCGGTGGATTGGTCTAGGATTGCGTTACCCATCGAGGTCAAGTCGACGCCATCTAAGGACCCTTTCGACGACAACAAGCCTGATGGACAACCAGGCGCTGCGGAGAAAAAGGAGTCTCTCGGTCAGATACTGTCGTACGCGCAATTCATGCTCGACCACCAACATCTCACGTTCCTCTTCATGATCGTTATCATTCAAGAAGACGCCCGCCTCCTTCGTATCGACCGCTCTGGAATCTTCGTCACGAAGAAGTTCAACTACAAGACATCTGGCGACTCGCTCATGGAGTTCCTCTGGCGATTCGCTCGTCTCAGCCCGGAACTACAAGGCCAAGATCCCACGGCAGAGCGTGTCGACCACGCTTCGGAATACGCTGACACCATGCGAGCGAAGCTGGAGACGCCAACAGTACCTGATGACTACGTCCGAATTCTGTTTGAGACTTCTCTTGACAAGGAATGGGCGTGGTGGCTCCTGAAGCTCAAGGACGAACGAACGCAGAAGGATCGGAGGTTCCTTGTCGGGAAGCCTCACTTCAGATGCGAAGGCGTCTCAGGTCGCGGGACTCGTGGATACGTAGCCATGGACGCCGATGATACCACGGCGCCCTTTGTCTACCTCAAAGACTCGTGGCGAGTGGTACACGACGAGATTCAGAAGGAGGGTGCGGTGCTTGAGACTCTCAACGCGGAGAAGGTCTCCTACGTTCCCACTCTACTCTGCCACGGCGATCTGGGTCACAAAACGACATCGGAAGAGCTTTGGCGCAAATATCACAAGAAGCACAAAAAGGATGTTCCGTACCCGCTCAAGCAGCACATTCATTATCGCCTTGTTGTCCAGGAGGTAGGGAAGCCGCTGGCCGAGTTCAAGGACGGTTCTCAACTTGTCTCGGCGCTCGTCTGCTGCCTGATCGGTAAGTCGACGGTGTTCACTATCTATGACGTGACACTCATCATCCGCATCAGCTCATGCGCAGGCTTACAAGATTGGCCTCATACACCGCGACATCAGTGCTGGGAATATCCTTTTGTATCCTCACAAGGGCGGCGAATGGAAAGGAATGCTCAACGACTGGGAGCTAGCAAAGGACGTGAACAGCAACTCTCCTCACGCACGTCAGCCTGACAGAACCGTGAGTGTTATTCCATGATACGGCGGTCACCCGCTCAGATTTCTTGTCGTGCAGGGAACTTGGCAGTTCCTATCCGCAGGGGCATTGACCTATCCCCAGAAGCAAATTGTCGTTCAAGACGAGCTGGAATCCGTGGTACACGTGATGATTCACATGGCGATCCGATTCCTCCCCCACAACTGCGACGACAACAACGTCGGGCGACTTCTCTACTACTACTTCGACGATTGTCAGGCCACCGACACAGGGTTCGGCTGCGGGGCCCTGAAGAAGACCGCTATGACGACCGGGAGGGTGAAGTTCCAGCAGCAAGGCAAAGACATCGATCTTCGCTTCCACTGGGGATCGAAGTCCGATGCTAGGCACCCCATCGACGAACTTCTCGAAACACTGCTCGGCTGGTTCGAGGCGTACTATACCGTGACGGACGAAGGAACGGGATTACCCAAGAATCCTGAGACACGAGACAACGCCTTCTACCCGAGCCCCGCTCTCATGTCGATGGTCAATGAAGTCGACATCGATGCGCTGTTTGCGGACGAAACTCCATCCGAGCCCTCGAGTGCATCTTCCGCCCCGAAGTCGAAGTCCAGGGACCGCGCGGCCGACCTCGAGCTTGCTGCGAAGCTCAAAAACCATCGGGCCATGATCGTCCTCTTCAAGGAGTCCCTCGAGAAGCAGTGGCCGGAGAAAGACAAGACGGCGGACAAGCGCCCCGAGAATGGCTACAAGCCGGGCGACGAGAACGACCGCACCGCTGTGGCGACCGCGGCCACCCCAGCCGTCAAACGTGTTGCGACAGACGTAGAGGACCTTGAGCCTCCTTCCACGCCCAAGCACAGGCGCACGGACGACTCGGAGTAGTCCATCCTTGGCCACGGCGCGCGCCTCCGTTTCTGCTCTCCCTGGGGGACGTCCTCCCGTGTGGCTCGTGCATAGGCTCGCTCTCGTCGCGTCGTGTTGTGTCATCCGTCTTCTACTGGACGTCGCTCTAACATCATCCCTCTCCCCTTCTTGCGAACGGTATTGTTCGGATCGCCGTAGTAAACACCGTGCATGCCTTCTCCACGTCGATCCTTCTTGCCGTTCTATCACGATCGCCGCCACACACCAGTACCATTTCCGGACTTCACATCCTGACACTGTATATTCCGATACCTTATGCGCATTTACTATCCGCGTCCCAGTCAATATCCATTTGTCGGTCTTGGCTGTCTATCGCACTGCAAATACCCATACAGCTCCACACGCATTATCCGAGTCCTCGCGTTTGTTCGCTGTTTGCGTTGAGCTGCCCAACACCGGTACCCCAGTACAAAAACGGGATCGGGGTCTTTCTTGAGTCGCGTGTATACCGCCGGCCGGAACTCTCTGACAGCGCACACGATACATACGGGAGCGATGCACGGACTCGGCAATGTCGAGGACGGGGACGAGTCCCAAAAAATTCATATGCTTCTCCGCAACTCCGGCTCCATCCAGAGTCCATGTTGAGGAGGGGGGCCTGCGGAGGATTCACGGAGAGCTCTGGGGATTGTTATGGCCTCGGGTGCTATTCCGATCGGGGGGACTACGTGCTCGCTAATCTTGTTGTTCCCGGGTTCACACCCGGCTCAAGGCGTAGCATGGGAGAAGATGGCTAGACGGCTAGGAGTCTTGTACTATGCAGGTCATCCGCGTGCACGTCAGCATCGCCGACGGAGGCAAAGCTGCGCAGGGTTGGTCAACAACCGTGACTGAATGGATGACGGCAAAGACCACGACACCGACGATATTTCTATGCAACGATGAACACATGAGCTAAGAACCTGATGCGAGTGATGATGTCGGAACTCACCTAGACCGCACGAGTGCCCGTCGCGACGCAACACGCCACGTAGAAGGCCCTGCTACTTACTGCACGGGGGTCGAAGCGGGTCGCACGGCGGCAGCAGTACAGCGGAACGTGTATTGTGCGAGTTAGGAGCATTGTAGTGTACACGGAGACATTATGGACAGGGTAACCCGGGCGCGTGACGCCCAGCGGACAGATCGCGCGCGTCCCAGAACAGAGATAATGGAATAGATGATGCGCCCGCGGTGGGGGTGGGCGACGCGTCATGCGTTTAGAGGGTCCGCGAACGTGGTGTGGGTGGGTGTAGGGTGTGGGTGGCGCGTTGGAGGACGGACATGCGGTGCGGACTACGACTCGACAGGGGGAGGGGCCTCGCGGAGATGTCTGCGAAGAGGACGTGAGTGGCACGGACGAACTGCGGGGATATGATGGGCTGACTGGGTGAGCTCCTTGTTCATCTTGAACATGTCGATCTTGTCGACCTTGAAGATCTCTCTGAAGCCGTCGTCGCAGATGATCTCCTTCTTGTTCTCGGGGTTCTGCATGTTGTTCGCCTTGATGTGGTTCCACAACTGCTTGACGGTCTGCGGCCGGGACAGCCTCTCCACCTTGAGAAGTGCGGACAGAGGCTCGCTGGGAACAGTGAGAGTTGAGGCCTACACTCTAAAGTACAAGGCGTGGGCATTGTACTGACCTAAGCAGATACTCCTTCGTGAAGCCGCCACCCCGCCTCTTCGGCTTCGGCTCGTCACCCTCGCTCTCGCCATCGGACGCGACGGTGGCGGCGCTCTTAGGACCCTTCTTCGCTCGTTTCGCACCGTTAGCCTTCTTGCCTGCCGCAGTGGCCCGCGCCGTACGCCCCCGACCATTGATCTCGTTCGAGAGCTGGCGCGCGAGCTCCTCGTCCGTCAGGTCCTTCTTCCCCTTCGCTCTCGCCTTCTTTGCTTTCGGCTTGACAGGCGCAGCATCCTCCGCCTCTTCCTCGCCCTCGGACGCGTCGTCCCGCTTGCGCTTCGTGCCGTCGCTGGCACCGTCCTCGCTGGTCGCGTTCTCGGCCTCGCGCGCCGCGCTCACCTCCTCGTATACTTTGGAGATGATCTTGTCGATGTCGTCCTTCTTTTCCCGGACGAGCTCGGCGGTCAGGGTGGGCTCGAGCCCGAGGAGCTCTTTGCGGACGCGTTTTGCGCTGATCGTGGCGAGGTCGGTGCCAGGGGCGGTGAGGATGCCGCGAATCTTGGGCTCGAGGAGCTCGGCGTTGAAGGACATTATTGCGAAGCTATGTACGGATTAAGAGACGGAGTAGACAAAGCCGGAGAAAGTGAAAGTGGGAGGAAAGCACAAAGTCTCGCACCAAGCGCCGTTTTGGGAGGAGGTTGAGCTTTCGGCATTCTCCGGCGCTAGCGCCTGTGTACTTTGCGCCTCCGTCTCCCAATCTTTCGACTAAGAATTTGATAGTATGGCAGAGGTTTAGATTGCGAGATGCGGTATGAGAACGCGGAATAAATTTGGCGGGGGTACGAAGGTACGAGCAAGACGCCAAGTTTGGAAGACATTCGGCTTTCGGCGTTTCTCGGATTGGCGCTCATGCAGACGTCGTCCGCCGAGTGTGGCTTTCGGTTTCTGGGATGATTGCGAGCGAAGCGAGCATACTGCATAGGGGGATGGTCGGACGACTTTGCGGGGACCAAACAGATACAAATTCCACGCACCAGAAATCGCTGAGCCACAACGTCTACTCTACGCTCTAGTACGCTCAATTTGTATTTGTTCGCTCCATAATCTGACATATACACACAAACATGTACTTTGTATCGTTGTGTAACTTTACAGGTGCATCTGTTCAGTATTGCGTGAACGAGGCGACATCGAGCCTTGCTGCAGCCTGAACAAAGGACAGGTGCGCAACGCAACATAAGCGCCGAAGCGCGCGAGATGCGTTGCCGCGGCCGCGTGTTCAGAGCAGCGTCGCTTACACTGGTAGTAGTACCTACCACGTTCAAGCTATCTTTCACCCTGATGCGCCTGTTTTATATATCTAGTGTGTCGGGATCCCGGTTTTTCATCCGCTCTCGGATGAAGCCTATCTGGCGGCGTAGTGAGCACTTTCGTCAACGGAGCCTAGTAATTTTGCTCACGATGCACTAGTACTCAGAAAAGTCGCTAAAAGTGCGTTGGGATGCACGGTCAAAGTTGGGGCGTTATTACGGCAAGATATTGAAGCGATTCCACGTGGGATGCGTCCAAAAGAGGATACTGGCGTCTAAAGGCGCTTAGCGGCGAAAGTTGGGAAACGCGACCTGTTCCCCGACGCCCACCTTCCATCGTCCTCGAAACGCCCTCCTTTGACAAACGCCGTCTGTACAGCGCGCGTTCGCGATCTTACGATCATCCAGCTCCAGAATCCGCGCTCCAAGCCTCGGCGGTGGCGGTGCGTTTGTAGATCCAAGCGGTGCAATCACTCGATCAGGAAGGTCTTTCCGGTGAGTTGACACATTCCCTCTTACACTCTTCGCCGCCCGTCGTCCAAGGACCGCTCGTGGGTTCCTAAAGTATGCCTGTATTAAGGCTATTATCGCCTCAGGACGGCGCCGTGGCTGCAGCTTCGAGATCACGGCGTACTTGGGAAGCTACGGTGACCTCGTGGCTGTCAGCGCACGGGTCTGGTTCTCTGGCTCCGCGGCTCGCCCACCAACGGACACGGATCATTCATTCCGCGTAGAAGAAGCAGGCACGGTTCCTTGCGTGTGTATAAGCTGCCGGCCAGAGTATGCGGATGGTCTGCGGGTGTTTGGTGTTTATGTGAAGCAATCTAATGTGCCAACGCTGAGCCGTGCTCCCAGAAACGTTTGTCACCGCGACCCTATTGTGCTGGATCGACGTGAGATTGTTCTCGCGATGGCATGCGCATGAGATAGTAGCTGGCAGATAACCATTTTCGACTGAGGGGAGTGGGATTATATCGAGATTTCATGTGCGCCTAGCTCACTGGCGCTTCATCTCGTGCAACCCGGTTTCCACGGAATATACCGCCCATGTGCTGTGCATAACAAAGCTTTGGATTTCGCGATGTGCTCTCTGACGCCTATTCAAGATCTCGAGCTGACCTCTTTAGCAGTGAACCATCATGGCGTCGATCGATTCGCTTCCTACAGAACTCCTGTTGCGCATCCTGTCGTTCCTCTCGCTGCAAAATTTACGCAATGTCAGACTAATTGCTCGACGATGGGAAGAGTTCGTTCTTGCCAATCAAACCACCATATATCATCACGCCGCGCTATTTCATAACTTCGTCAATTCTCTCGATGTACTCCTTCCAGAAGCCAAGGAAGCACAGAACCTTCACTTCCTACGTGATGTCCCAGACTGGTACCAGTATTGTGGGCCTTACCGCTGCGTCCGGGATTCAGTTTCGCTCAAATTGCTCTTCAGGCCGGAAATCCTTTCAGCTTCAGAGGAACTGGATGGGAGCTGGCGATGCGAAGACGAAAACTTATGGCAGATACCCTTACGACATCCATCGCATCAAAGCAGACGAACAACACGGACTCGTGATCACGACGCACGAGTACGGCGGCCTCACTGTCTTCGACATGGAGTCGTCAGAAATCCTGTGGAGACTAGGCACCGTACTTCTTCCCCTGCGGTCCATCATAGATATCCACTGACGGGAATGATGCGCCCAGGGCGACGTTCGCCGGCACGCCCACTGCGAGTACGAGAACGGCTTCCTGATCTTCGATAGGGTCGGCGTCTCAAAGGAGGTCTGGCGCCTGGAAGTGTTGTACGATGCCGCCGAAGAACCCACTCTCTGCCGCCCGGACGAGACGCAAGTGCTGGCGTGGCAGAAAGCCTCACAGAATCATCCCTCTCCCGACCGCCGTGGCCACTTCCGCCCCTGGGCTCTGATCAACACCCCCGAGTTCGGGCGCGCCTACCGCTTCGTCCACCCAGATCTGCTCGTGTCTGGCCTACGCAAGGCGTATCTGTGGGATGTGCGCACGGCGCAGCTCCAGCTGGTGGTGCAGGATGTGCAGGGCGAACACCTCGGCGACATCAACTACGTGGAGGTGAGCGCGAAACACGTGTTCGTCTGCTCGAGCTCGGCGCTGCGCATATTCTGCCGCGAGACTGGAGCAATGGTATACCGTCTCAAGTCGTACCAGTTCGTCTACTCCGACACACGGCTGGCAGTGCAGCTGGACGCCGCGTTGGCGCGCCATGGTGTAGCATCCCCGGGCGAAGTCGTGATGCTCCACGGGGCGCCCACACAGAGCACGGCGCTCTACACCGCGTCCTATGCAGAGTTCTCTGGAGGTACGTCACGGCTGGTCCTTATAGGTACTCTACGAGACATCTAACTCCTTTCAGTCCACGTCTCGCGCGACGGGTTGGACATGGTAGCGCAGCTGAGCGATAGCAGGGTGGTCATCATCCGCGACTTCATGCGCGTCGTGCGCGGCGAGGTGCCGCTCAAGACTGCGGCGCTCGAGATCGGCAAGACACTTCCACGTCGGAGCGGCCTCGACGAGCACTTCTCGATCTACCTCGCGTTCGAGCACGGCAGAGTCGCTGCGGTCACCGTACGTCCTCCCTCCTTCTCCCTTCCCTGCTAGCGAAGCATACACGACCCGGTACTGAAGAGGCTTGCTTCCGCAGACCTCTGGGGTTTACATCCTGACACTCGACCCTACGCGGCACGGAGTCGTCGACGCGGAGCGCGCGGCGCGGTCGAACGCGCACCGTATCCCCCGCGCGGCGATCGAGGCGGGGCTGTCGTGCCCGAACATCGGTGTCGCGTCCATGCCATACTACTCAGACCGCCGCTTGCTCGCGAAGGTGACGTGTGTGCAGATGACGGCGACGAAGCTGTTCCTCGTGTGGGACGCGGCGCAAACCCCAGAGCATGCTGAGGGGGCAGATGCGGGCTCTGTTCCGGGTCCGAGCACCGGCCCTGGCACTCATGAGAGGGCTGTGGCGGTGAATATGGTCGTGGAGGCGGAGGCGGATGCAGAGGTAGAGGGCGAGGTAGAGGAAGCGGCAGAGGAGGACGCGGCGGCAACTGTGGAGCCTCCTACTGGCGACGATGTCTGGGATGCCCCTGGTATTGATGAATCGCAGGTCGTTACCGCCGGAGAACCTGTTGCGGGGCCGTCCACGAGCGCTGCAGTCAACGACGAGGCGGCCCAAGTGGACGAAGTGCCATCCAATGGTGATGACGAAGACAATTGGGTGGATGCGAACGAAGAGCAGGATGACCTCGATGACGAAGACGGTATCGATGATCCTGTTGTTCCCCTCCTCCCGACGGCACGACATGAACGTGAGTAGCGCAAGCTTCTTGATTCGAAGAGCGGGTTGCTCATGGAACACACAGAGGAAACGCAGCCCATCGTCCTCTGCATCGACTTTACCCCACTGTAGTATCTCCCTGGAAGTTTTCTCCACGTACTATTCCGAGGGGCATAACATATACAGTATGTTATGGGCGAGATTATTGCTCGGCACGCGTCCATGTATTAAGAAGGAAGGATGTTTTGCCAAGCTGCTTCATGGTTGCTACGAGTCCTTAAATCACATTGTACATCGCATATCGTTACAACGTATCAACTATCTTCTTGGATATCTAGGTCCCTTTCCGTCTACAGCCTGCTCTGTGGCGGTCGCGACGGTGCGGCATCTGCGCCCTGTCTATCTAGGTCGCAATGAACTCGAGCTCTGGGGACAGGGCGACCGATGCTTACTGCCTATGTTCGGGAACGATGTCTGCGCCCTTGCCTTTGGTGAGGTAATCGCGGAGGTTGGTCAGCGCGCGGACTTCCATCTTCTTCTGCGAGTCGCATGTCTCCGTTCCCATATGCGGAAGTAGCGTCGCGTTCGGGAACTCGAGTAGACGTGGGTTTACCTCGGGCTCGTTTGGGTACACGTCCAGGCCAACACCGCCCATCTGCACCACCATGAGCAAGAGCGCGGTCATAAGGGAATGAGATAATCACGTACGTGTCCATCTTCGAGGGCGCGGATGAGCGCGGCCTCGTCGATAACCTTCCCACGCGCGGTGTTCACAATGACCGCGCCCTTCTTTAGCTTGCGAATCATCGCCTCCCCGACGAGGCCCTCCGTCTCCGCCTTGAGCGGCACGTGCACGCTGAGCACGTCCGCCTGTGCGAGCATCTCATCGAGGCGTTCCGCGGGGAAGTACTCGCACCACGCGGGTGCGCTCGCGGACGGGCGCCGGTTATGGTACACGACGCGCATGGGGAACGCATGCGCGAACTCGGCGAGGCGCTGCCCGATGCCGCCGAGCCCGAGGATAGCAAGCGTGCGCCCCGTGAGGTCGTGCGCGGCGCCGGGCCTGTGCGCGGACTTCCACTTGCCGGCGCGCAGGGTTTGCTCGGCTTGCGCGAAGAGGCGGAGGGAGGAGATAAGCAGGTAGAGCGCGGTTGTGGCCGTGGCGTCGTCTACGGCGCCGGGGGTATTGGAGACGAAGATACCTGAGAAGAAGGCGTGAGTGTGTTCAAGGGCAGGCCGGGCGGCCAAGTATAGTCTGACCTCTCTCTTTGCAGGCGGCAACGTCGATCTGATCATAGCCAGCTCCGTTGTGTGCAATCCACTTGAGAGTGACGGGGAGCTTCGATACTAGTTCCTTGTCGTAGATGCCGATATGGTCCGCGGAGACGTTGTGCCTGTAGATTCCGACGATACCGTCGTACTTGCCCCCCGGCTGTAAGCCGGAGAAAAAGTCGGCCCGGTTAGGCGAGTCCATACGCTATGGGGAAGACACACAAGCTCAGGATACGATTGGAGCGTCCCCGAAGAGAATGCACGTACGACGACTTCTGCAAGACCCTGGAACAGCTCCGCGCACTCTTGGTGTGCCCAAACGAGATCGCCTGCAAAATGGCCCGGTCAGATAAAGCCCCGGCGAGATACGGAAGACGTACCGCAGATCAGAACGCGAACCATATTGTACTTTACCTTGAGCTGTACGAAATAAAGGCTCTAGAGAGTCGTCGTCGACTTGAAGGCGACGCTATCGCGCGTCCCGCGGAGATGGACGATCTTATAACCCCCGTGGCACGCAGCTCCGGGCCGCGCTGCCGAGTGGAGTATACATGGTACTCTTTTGGCTGAGACCTCTTGCGCTTCAACAGTGTCCTGATGACCTGCCAGATGCACCTGCTGAGCGACTGAACGCGATGAGAGTGATGGTAGGACGAACGAGCGACAATTCGCATGGACGCCGTCCGGATCGCAGCCTCAGGTTATCCCGTCCATCGGTCCGCGCCTGGCGCTTGGCAGCGCTCAGCACGTACACGACTCTAATTCTCGCCACCATGCGCCTGCCGAGCTTCAAGTCTCAAGGCATTGTCCTTGTCAGGCAATCAGGTATGTCAGACTCATGCTATCGGCGCTCATAAAAGCCTCACTTCAGCTCAACATATCGCAGTAGTGATACAGGTACATGTACAATCAAAATCGGGAGCAACAAGTTGTAATACACATGATACACGGTCCAGTCGTCACACTTCCAAACCAACGCGAGTCGCAGCCTTCTGAATAACACCTTGCAGGTCCTCGTGGAGTCTCAGTAGAGGTATCGGAAGCCCTTCTTCCTCCTCAACGCCTCCTCAAAGGTGATACCTTCAAGTCTGGCCGCGTCCTCGATACGCTCGCGTTTAGCACCCTTGAGGTTAGCCAGCTCCTCCTGCTCCAGCTGTTTGTTTTGGCGGACGAGGATGCAACGAATCACTGAAACAATGAATGATGGGTAAGGATGGCCGAGGAAATAGAGCAGACGATACGAACCTATCGACAGCGCGGTAGCGAAGGCCAGCGCTGCGATGCCGATGAACATGGACTGGTGGTAGTCAGGACCCCATTCCGATTTCCAGACGAACGAGCTGATGCTGTAGTAAAGAGAACTCCAGATTAGCCTCCGATATCCTCTCGTGCCACAATAACATCTTACAGATTTCCGAGATTTCCAAAGCCGTTAACGACACCGATGGCCGCAGCCCGCTTCGCCGGCGGCCGTGGCACAGCGTTTGAGACCCACACCGCGGTGAGTGCGAAGCCTTCATCATGATAAAATAAATGAGCGTTCAGGTCAAGCATTCAGATTAGGGGGGCGTACCGGCATAACCACTCGCCATCAAGAACATCGCGACGTAGCGACCACCGATGGAGAAGGTCGAAACGCCGATGATATATCCGAGAATGACACCCCACCAGGGTGCGCAGTGGTGGAAGAATCGCTCGCCAGTGCGATCTATTCATTGTATGGTGTAAGTCCTCGAAGGTCCGTATGTTGGTCTTCCTCTTACCAGCATGCCATGCGTTGATGCAGCACACGGCCGTGGCCACGATCCATGGCGGCCTGTAATCGCGTACGTGAGTAAAACCGAAAGACGATAGAATGACACTGCACTGACGCGGCCAGGAGAAGCGTGATAGTCGTCGAGAAGCCTAGGGTCCCTGCAATTCTGCGAAGCGCACACGGAGGTCAATTCAATGAAGATCACCCATACTCGGCGAGCACCACACACGTTGGGAAGAAGTTGACGAAGCCCAGCCCCAAGAGCTGCGAGCACGTCATGACGGCAAAGATGGGAACCTTGGGGTCCTTGAGGGCCATTATCAGCCCCCCAAGCGCGCTGCATGTCCGGTGAGCTCTGCGCAGATACGGATGCAATGATGGCAACCCACGAGTCTGTCGAGACGTCTGCGTCTGCTTCACCGGCATCCTCGGCAAGGCGCACTTGGGCCAACCGTCTTTGTGCGGGCGTGAGCCAGCGGGTGTTGTGGGGCTGGCGTAGGCGTCAGCACACTCCTTACCGTATGTTCCGTTCCCTCAGACTTAGGTACTCACATAGTCCGGCAGGGCGAAGCTGGCTAAATGTGAGCTACGCTGAGTAAGTCGAAGAAGGCGATGACTTACATAGCGAGGATTCCTATCGTGACCGTTATAGCGCCCTGCAGCATGAGGAGTGAGCTACGCGGGAACGACGGGTGCATCCTCGGAAGTCGCGCACCTCGATATAGAACAGCCTAAAGTTGTACGATCAGTCGGGACCGCGATACCGCTTGAGAAGGTGCAAGCACTCACCACCTCCAGGCGCGGATGCCCAACTTCCCCTCCATGCGTGAAAGGATACCGGCGGCCATGAGCTAGAGTAATGCAATGAATAGCTCGCTTAGGTACGCGCGCTCGATCGTATGAGAAAGTTATGCTACTTACACTCCCGAAGGCGTTAGAAATGAGCAGACCGCCGTAAAGGATCGCAGAGCGGAAGGCAAGCTCCTATTTAGCGAAACCCGTCAGAACGCGTGCGCGAGGATATCAGACAGATGTCACGAACTTTGCGCGTATACCACCTCGATAGGAGATACATGGACCCAGGGTAGAATGCGGCCTATTGTATGGTGAGCACAGATGACAGTTGTGGCGTGGGTGGCGCACCTCTGGCAGGCCCACGAAGATTCGGGCGGTCAAGAGACCGGCATAGCTTTTCGATACCTGCGTGGAGTTAGACGGTGCGCCTGTGGAAATACAGGGTACTCACCCCAGTCAATGCGCTCGTCATGCCCCAGAGCATCACGCAAAGAGGGATGTAATAGGACGGCCTAAAGAGTGAAGGTGCTCAGCATGCAGCTGGGTGCTGAAGACTGGACGCAGCGATTATACCTTGAGATGCGGTTCAGAATCTGTTGCATTGTTAGCGACATGGGATCAAAGGTGTGTACGGGTCGCATACCATGTTCGAGGGTATCTGTGCTGGGACGTAGGACGCGTAGAGGACGGCGAGGACCGTGGAGTACTGTATGTCTGCACATATCCTCTCAGTATGCACGCTGACTAAAACCCCATTTCAAGCCGTCTCACCACTCAACCCGAGGTCTTGCGTGAGTCCCTTCAGCCGTGCGGCAGTAATCGCCGTGCGCTGGAGCATATCATGCGTCAGACACACGTCGCGCATTCCTAACACTGGCATAGGATGGAAGGGGGTTGCACTCACGTCGATGTAGTTCATGATGAAAATAAGCACGATCGTGGGCAGCAGTCTCCAGTCCAGCATCCGCACCAACTTGCGCTCTGCGGCTGCGCGCACGTCGAGGCTAAGCAGGTCGCCATCTTCGGACTTCTCGCCGTCGGACGCGGCTGTCGACGGGCGGCGCTCGATCTGGGCGATGGAGGCCTCGTCCTTCTCGTTGAGAGACATGCCGAGCGAATGTGGGGCGCGGTGAGAGGAAAGCGGACGCGTCCTGCCAGGCACGTCCTGCGCCGTGAAGCTTATAAGGCGGTCGGCGCGGTGTATACATATCTGCCTGCGGAGGACCGAACGGGCTCCTGCGTTAGAAGAGTGAGCAGGTGACCAGTTCTGTGCACGATGAAGTCAGTGGGGAGCCCGCGGTGTGGGGAGAACTCACGGCATCATCTGTCCAAGTCTGTCGGCTAGCGACTTCTGGAGGGTGTCAGCTGAGGGCTTGTCAGTGCATTCAGCAGGTACGTTTGGCGCTTCCCGATCTACGTATTTCCATTAGTGGGATGCGTGACTGCGCGACGAACTGTGTTGCAGGCGATACCAAGACCAACCGTGCTGCATGAGATCATCGGAGGGCGTGGAATTGATGCCAAATTTGCTAGCAGTATGCGCGAAGACGAAGCGGCCCGGCGCGACACCACGGTCTTCTAGAGGCACCAAGGCACCATTGAGAAACCTACCTCGGATGATTGGCTCATACTGGTCGCGCGCTGCTAAGTTTGACCCCCACACAAAAGTTCATTACGTTACGATCGTCGTACATAGCATACATCGTTAAGTTCTCCCGCGCATTGGTGTCTTCGTCGTGATATGGTGTTGTCGTCATACTCGTCTCCGGGACGGTGATGGAGATGTCGTCGCTCAAGCGAAGGAAGTACCCTTGGCCGCCTTGATCCAGGCGGCGTCGGCGTTCGGGAACTGGCACTGCGGTTCAATACGGGCCACATAACGTGTGAGGGAATCAAAACTGACCTGGAAGGCCATGACACCGCCGTTCCAACCCTTTGCCTTTGCCTGGTCCACGCACGTGCCGAGCGTGAACGGGTCGATGAAGCCGTTCGTGGCATCGCTGGCTCCGCCAGGCTTGCCGATGACGAGCTTGTTGAGGTCGACGCCGTTGTTGGCGATCTCGAACAGGGAGGACCCAGGGAAGGGACCACCTGCGGTGTTCAGGAGGCCCTCGCAATCGGTGTACAGGCCCTCTGCAAGCGCAATCAGTCAGCCAAGTGTATAAGCCGGTCGGAGCGGAAGTACTCACGGTTGTAGAATTGAATGTTGTACTAGCGAAGAAGATGCGATCTTAGATCATCTGCTCCACGACGATCTCGAGGATGTGCTCACCCAATCAATCATGGACCCGACGTTCTTGTGGATCGTGAGGTACGCGCCCGCAGCGAACTGCTGGTTGGGCGACAACCAGGGGGCGAGTGGCGCGTGCGTCAGGATGAACTGGCCCTGGGGCAGGGTCTGGCGAAGGGTTTGCGTGAAAGTGGTGACCCACTGCTCCGCCGCGCCGTCGCCCCTGTTCATCGCGTCGAGGTCCTCGTAGTCGACGTCGATGCCGTCAAGCTGGTTGGTGACCACAAACTGCGCCATGGTGTTGGCGGTTCCGACGGGGTCGGCGCCGGCGGTCGTCGGTTTGTCGGTCTCGCCGAAGGCAGAGACGATGATGTTGATGCCGGCCGCAGCGTATTCAGCCTTCTTGGCGGCACGAGTTTCAGCAGGGAGTAGAGCGTAAGCCGCGGCTTGGTCGAATGGGCCGTTCAAGGTAAGGAATGAGAGTGCGACGACGTTCCAGCCCTAATGAGGAACATTGTGAGACTGCAGGACATTGTGAACAGTGGGAGGCATGCTTACCGCAAGCTGGTCGGCGGTAGGAAGGACGTCTCCAGAAATGAATCTGTCAGAGTAGACGACGAATGCCGGGGTTGGTGCGGTAGCACGCGACACCAACGGCGTGACGTTGTTGTTGATAGGAACAGCGAGGACGCTGCTCACAGACGCCAGCGCCAGCGCGGCAGAGACGGAAGAGATCATGCGAGTGAAGGAGAACATAGCTGGGTCGTGACAAAAAGCGAAGATGTAAGAAAAAAGCCGGCTAGCGGACTTAAGAATGTGCGAACGAAAGTAAGTAAAGAACCGTGGAAGGAATGGGGGGTGAAATTCCGGGACGTCGTTGCATACCTTTTATACCTCTCTGGTTGAGCATGACCAGACGCAATGTCTGTTGAACCGGTATGCTTCCGTCCAAGCCGCATCACAGTGAGGAGGCTGTATTGAGACCCTGATTGATGCAGTAGGGCTGGCCACGAAACGATGTCGGGAGAGCGAGCCAAGGCGGGCGTCGGCATGCCAGAAAAGTTACCATCTCGCAGTGAGTCTTGGCTCGATGAAAGGGCTCATAGCACCCTGGATGACATGTCCGGTTCATCAGCATATGAACATGGACGGCTGGTCAAGCGTTGAAAGATGAGCGTGACACGGCACGTACTTTGAGTCCTACCATTGCATGTTATGGTCAATGAAAGGCCACATTGGCCTTCTACGCTGCAGCTAGCGCTTCGTAATTCCGGAGATAATATCCGTCGCCCTGCATGGTGATCAATGCGACGATGAAACCGCCCGCGGCCCCAACATTCCGCCGTTAGCTCCGTGATCCATCGGTCTCTGCATATAAGTCACGCGTGGAGGTACTGATGTGTTGCGGTTGCGTTGTGATGCGGACTTCGTTGTGTGCTCTGGAATGGTCGATGCAGAGCGAAAGAGAGTTGAGAACGGCTGCTCAAGCGCTCGAGGTGGCAGTGGATGATGTCGATGGGATCCACGTGGCTTTCAGCTCGCCTTCGGCCGACTCCTCTATAGAGCATGACGAAAACGAGCTCAATCAATGTGGTATCAGTCCATCAGCTCCCCGGGTGGACTGCTTGCTTGATATATATCCACTTGGGCACACAGTGGCTACCAGGAAGATATAGCAAAACAGGTAGAGCAGCGGCGCAGCGGCGCAGCGTCCAGAGAACGCAGAATACTAGATCAGCGCAAATGAGAGATGTATAAACGGCTATCGTGGGGTAAAAGGAGCATGGCATATGCGATGACAAAAGATGATGTAGAAACTTAAGGTCGTAGCAGATGCACCCTCGCACTCGGGGCTCCGTACCCATGCGTAGATCACGCGACAAATATCCAGAGGCGCAGGACGAACGAGCGTCCGATCCGTGATTGGGAGGTATTGTGGAGAGCCAACTGGCGATACGACGGCCAATGATGCGAAGCACTGCGAAGAGTTTCCGGACCTAGCTGCGAAGGTGCATGCGCTTCGTCGGCGTCGAGGGCAGCTCGAGCCCGTCAACGGGGCTACGGGAGCGTTTGCCGCTTTTAGTCATCGTTAAGCGCGGGGTGTCGAGAGCGGAGTGGTCCGTGTCCCCCTTCGCCGGAGGCGAGAGGGTGGCCGCTGTGTTACTGTTGGAGATCGTGTTGGAAGGGGACTCGGAGGTACCATCGCGATTGCGATAGGGATATCCCACTCCTGGTCTCTTGTCCCAGCCCTTGTCGTGCTGAGGCCATCTGGATGATTCAGTACGAGGGTTGCGGACAGCACGTCGGAGGCGCGACATTAATGGTTTGTGAGTGTCAAGCTTTTGAGCTCGAAGTCGCATCTTCTCTTCTTGCTTCAGCTTCATAGCTTCATCCTCCGACGATAACTCGCTTTCGTCCGAGTCGGTCTCGTCACTGTCCGAATCCCACGCCCACCGTGACCTCTCCGTTGAAGACTCCTCCGTGATGCTTTCAGGAAGGGGACCCATTCCTTCCTGGTGTCTCTGAGACAAAGGCTTGGCATCCTCATGCTTGACGTGATAGTACGCGGAGAACCAGGAGAAGAGGTCGCCAATGAGCTTGTTGATGGGATGGGGCGTATTGGACCCCGGGAGCCTAAATACCAAACGTGCGGAGGCCCCGATACACTGATCGAAGAGGTCAATGTGACCGACATTGATAGCTCTTTTCTTGGCGGGACCGCATCGATAGTCCCCATTGGACACTTGCAGGTAGTCTTCGAAGTAGTCGTGGATGAAAGCACCAACGTTCTGGCAGTTGTGGGGAAGGAAGCGTATCGCCATGTAGAGAAGGGCGTGAAAGAATGATTCGAGCTCATCCGGAACCAGGATCGTCTTCTCTGGTTCGTGGTGGGCAAACACGGAGAGGAATTCCCAAGTGCCCTGTAGATGTACGATAACATTAACTGCTCAGTTAGGAGCGGGGGCATGATCAAGTGTTAGCAGTACGCACTGTGCGATCGAGCTGTCGCTCTTCGATATTGTGGTTATCCAAATGCTTAGATAGCTCCCAGCCATCGAGCAATCCGTATTCACGGACCCCATCGTCGTGAATGAGCATATTACCAATGCTGATATCTCGATGGATGATTCCGTGCGCGTAGGCCTCCGAGTGAGCTGTGGACGCCGAGGACTTCGATCAACCAATGCGAACCTCGAGTCTACGATACATGCGCGAAGCACACACCTTTAACACAGTAATATATGGCATTGACAAGCGCCTCACCGTGAGAGAACTCTTCCAAAGGCCTGCCCACTTCCTTCACCACAAGACGATAGTGCGAGTGTGTCTTCAGCGGGCAGCGCGTGCCAGGAGGAACGTCAGAATGGTACGTGACCCTGAGGGCAGGTCTGGGTGAGTTCCGACATCATGACCGGCATCAGGTTCTTAGTTCATGCATCGCTGCATAGAAATATCAAGGATGGCGTAGTCAGTTGCCGTCATCTATTCAGTCACGGCCAGTGGCCAACTCTGCGCCGTTTCGCCTTCATCGCCGAGGTTCAATGTTGACGTACAAACGGATGACCTACGCACGGTACAAGGCTCCGAGCCGTCTTCTCCCACTCTGTGCACCATGAGCCGGGTGCGAATCCGGGAACAGCAAGATTGGCGAGCACGTCGACCCCCCGATCGGCCCTCGGGGTCATCACTGCATTAAACTATCTTGCGAAGAAGTGCACCAACTACCTTGTCCACGTCGTCGACGTCGTGCGCGTGCATCGCCCCCATATAATGGGGCCAAGCAAGCCGGCGAGGCAAAATTCGCGCAATGCATGCGACTCACGAAGGATCTGGATCCCTTCCTCTATTGGTTGCAGCGTTGAGTAACGCAACGTGAAAACGCGGAGACTCGGACAGCGCGTGTGGAACCTTGCGGTTATTTGAGACGCGATAGAAAGCGAGACGGAGAACAAACATGGATAGGATATCGGAATATACAGGATGGAGAGACGAGAAGCGGTATTGATGTATAGCAGCGATCGTGATAGAGCGGCGAGAAGGATCGGCGTGGCGATGGCATAACGACGATTATCATATCAGAGCAACACAGTATACGAAACGCGGAGAAGCGGAAGGACGAGCGACGGCAAGCAGAAAGTGGGCAAAACAGTACAGACAACGCGGCGCGGTTCAGCGCGAGCGCGGGGAGAACGTTTGCGTGGCGGAGAAGATACCGAGCGATGCGACGGTGGATGGTACGAAATGCTTCTGTACCTAGTCGCGCTGCACGCGCTTCGTCGGAGTCGAAGGAGGCTCGAGCCCGTCGACGTTGCTGCTGGGGCGCTTGTTGCTTCTGGCCGTGATAAAGAGCGGGATATCGGGGTCGGAGTCAGAGTCGTCTCTGACCAAAGGCGACGGGGCGTGCACTGTGCCAGAGAGCGCGGTGTCGAGGTCTGAGTCGTCCGCGACCTGCTGTGTCAAAGGCGAGGGGACGTGCACTGTGCCAGAGATCGTGCTGGGGAGGGGGCGGGACTCGTTCGTTGCAGCGCGGGGATGAGGATCGTATCCGCCCTCCGGTCTCTTGTCTGGGCATTTGTCCTTCTTGGGCCAGTTCGAAGCTTTAGAGTCGCCAACAATACGGAGGCGCAAGAGAAATTGCTTGTGAGTGTCAAGCATTTGCGCTCGTTTTCTCAGCTTCTCCTCTTCCTCCGGCGTCATGATGTCGCCTTCTTCCTCCGATATCATGATGCCGTCCGCTTCTGACAGGCTCTCGATTTGGTCCTCGTCGTCGTCGAGAGTGTGAAAACACAATGTTGGCGGCGCCTCCGAAGTAGCCGGCGCGATAGCGTCAGGGAGAGGCTCGGGCTCCTTCTTGTTGAGCCGATAGTACGCGGAGAACCAGGACAATAGATCGCCGATGAGCTTGTTGATGGGATGAGCCGCGGTAGACCCCGGGAGGAGGAACTTCAGACGGTCGCACTCCTCGGGACCCTGATCGACGAGGTCGACATAGCCATCCTTTATAGCCCTTTTCTTGGCGGAACCGCATCGATAGTCTCCATTTGAGTGCTCCTGGTAGTCTTCGAAGTACTTGTGGAGGAGAGCACCAACGTTCTGGCAGTTGTGGGGCATGAAACAGATTGCCATGTAGAGAAGGGCGTGGAAGAATGATTCGAGCTCGTCTTGAATCACAATCCTCTTCTTTGGATCGTCGAGCGCAAAGACGGACATGAATTCCCAAGTGCCCTGCAAGCAGACAGCAGTGACGGCTCAGTCAGAGAACGAGGGTGCGGTAGAGTATCAGTCGTACGCACCGTGCGATCGAGCTGTCGCCCTTCGGGACTCTCATCATCTACGTGCTTCGATAGCTCCCAGTCGTTAAGCAGTCCGCATTCAATGTTCTTCTCGTTGGTGTAAAGCAGCATGTTGCCAACGCTGATATCCCGATGGATGATCCCTTTTGCGTAGGCCTCCGAGTGCGCTGTGCCGATGATGTGAATCAATTATACAATCGCTAATGATACAACGGCGAAGCACATACCGTGTACGCAGCAATATATGGCATTGACAAGCCCCTGGCCATTGTAGAAATCCTCCAAAGGTCTCCCGACTTCCTTCACCACAAGCCGGTAGTGCGAATGCTTCTTCAGCGGGCAGCGCGTGTCAGGAGCGACGTCACGATGATATGTGACCCAGAGCTCAGGGCTACGAGTGAACTGGCCAAGGTCCCCATGATGCAACACCGTCGGGACATAGAGTACTTTCGCGCTGTTGAGGGTGCGCAGGGTGTCGCCTTCTTTGTCGATATCCTCGTGGACGACCCGCCATGCATCTTTGAGATAGACGAACTTGGGTGCAGGATTGTCGAGCTGGTCATAGTCGAGAGCGATGTACCCCCGCGTACCGCGCCCGGACACCCCGGGGGCATTGAAGTGGGGCTGTCCAACGAGGAACGTCCGCTCCTCCCCCTTGGCGAACTCGTCCTTGACAGTCAGACGCCACCAAACCGAAGAGGAGCCCAGCGATTTCTTGAACTGCACGTGCGCGTAGTCTTTGGAATCGTCGGCGACCTTCTCCGCGATCTTCTTCATCTTCCTTCCGAGCGTGCTGTGGTGCGGAATGCGCTCGGCAGTAGTGTCGTGTCCCCGCTTCGTCTGGTCCCGGAGACGGGCGAAGCGCCAGAGAAATTCGACAACATAGGTTGCATCCGCCTTGTAGTCGAACTTCTGGGTAGCGAAGATCCCGGAGCGATCAATGTAGACAATGCGGGCGAGCGTCCCGAGGAAGAGGAGCATGAACTGATGCGTACGCTGCTGGTTGTCGTAGACAAGCTGAGCGTAGGCCAGAATCTGGCCGAGATTGTGCTGACGTTTTTCAGCGTCGGGAGCGTTGTTGGGTTTGCTTTCATCGAAGGGATCATCGCCGACCGACTCCGCCTTGCACTCGATGCACATCTCGATCTTGGTCCAGTTGACGGCGCACGAGCGAGCCCCCGTGCTGCTGCTTTTCGTAGGTTTGGGAATTCCCCCCACCGGATACAGGCCACCATCAACTGCCTCCTTCGTTCCCACCTTCTTGTCGCCCTTGGATGGAGTGGAGACAAAGGCGAAACCGGGACAGAGGTTGGCGTCGTTGAGTGCCTTGATCTATACGAATCACTTGGTTGGTATCGCGTCGAACAGAGGGGATGCAGCGAGACTTACAATCGGGGCGTACATGCTTCGCTCTGTCGTGAAGTTGTCTAAGGACTTGAAGATATCTTTTGTCTTCTCGTCTCTCTTGGCTTCGGCCTCTGGGACGAACACATTCAGAAACTGCTCCGGGGTGATGATGGTGATCTTGTTTTGCATGACGGCGCGGAGATCGGCCCTAAGCTTCTCCTTATCAGAGATGCGTATGAGACCAATGCTCGAGTTCGGATAGGGTTTTCTGGGAGTATCATGGTGAGGCTGCGCGTTCGTGGACTCGGACATGGTGAGAAGAAGGGCGTACCGAGAGCCTGAGATTCAACGGCGGGATTTTATACGTCGTGTCTTAGCCACCGTCCACGAGTGCTGCGGTGGAGAGGTGGGAATCCTATTGTCCTACCTGGCTGGACAAACGAGGTTGAAGTGGCTAAGATGAGCGTAGTGTTCAAGTTGTGAAGCGCCCATTTTAGGATCGGCGCGCGCGCCAAGTTCAACTTGGTTGTGACGCGCGGCTATGACACACCGTCAACGACGGCCTTGCAACGCGACATTCGTGTCTTTCTCGCTACTTATGAGGTGCTAGTAATTTCTGCGACATTTCCACCGCTCCGAATAATCCTCAGAATGCACGATTGCCATAGCGGTTCCTCCCTGCGCACTCGAGACTCGCAGTGCGGTAGCCTTGGTGGCTGTGCAACTTTCTTACTCCGCGGTGGCTCCCGGTTGCCGGCGAGGGGCTGGCCCGCATGTCGACCCAGTCATTAACCCATTGTCCTCTTCAAAGCAACGCCGACTCGGCGCAGCCCAATCACAGCCATGCCCACCGCGACTAATGGCTAAAACCAGGCGCTCATTTTGCCCTGGTCGCCGCATTCTCCGCCGCGAGCTGATTGGCAAGCAGCCACTGGCAGGCAGCTAGCACGTCCAATACATTCCAATAGGGTGTCGCAACCCGCTCCTGTATTTCTAACCTATGGTAAACATCATGAAGACACGATCGTCTTCCCTGGATGTTGAGAGTACGTCGTGAGTCGCGGAATGGTTAGGCAGAAGTGTGGGACGCACCAGCCTGAGGACTCTCCTGGAGAACAAACGGCTTCCGTACCGACGGGACAAAGGGAAGATAGTGCATCAAACGGAGCAGGCCGCTTTCAGGTACACAATCAGGGCTTCTCCTTGGCTGAGCTCCCCATTACCAACAGCCACGATCTCGCGAGCCACGTCCCTATGCATCTTCAGTTTACCCTCCTGTATCACGGCAAAGCATGAGCGCACCGAAAGCCATCATCGCAGCGTCCCCACATACCTGCCACAACAGCCAGGCCAGGAATCGCGCCGCATGACGCCCCACCAGGGCGTGCTCCCCAGGCAATACACTCGCCCCGCGGTCTGCACTCCCATCGCTGAGAAACCGCTCAGCGAGAGCGCGGGCCCCGTTGCGCACACGATCGGACGTGGCAGAATCCAGGTGCAGCGCAGCGAGATTGGATGGCGGGCGAAGTGCGCCGCGGAGGTAGAGCCAGAGCGATTCGTGCGACGGGTAGGCTCGTACGAGTGCCCATGCATGCTCTACCAGAGTCTCCTTTTCCTCGGATGGGATCTCCCGCGTATGGTCTCCTGAGGCGGCTGTGATTGGCTGTTCTCCTGCAAATCGCCCAAGTTCGAGATCTTCGAGGCGGCACGCGTATTGCATTGCAGAGTAGTCGGAGACGTGCCTCTCGATCCATTGGCGTATGCGGTCCTTCTCCAGCTGCCAGGCCTCCATCAGCGCGGGGCCCGCGTCTCCTCGGAGGGCCGTGGACAGAGCCTCCGCACATAGATACCGATGAGCCCACGCGTGGTAGTTGCGGGGGTATGTTTCGCACGCCCGATCGACGGCAGCAAACTCCACACTCCACGTGTCCGCGTCTAGGACGAGGCCGCGTAACGAATCTTCGCCGTCCCATGTCAGGCTGCTAGGTATATCGCTAGAGCAACTGGTAGTACCGCAAGACGGAGATCCAGCGGTGGAAGAGATGCGTCGCAGGATCCAGCGTCGGTGATGCCAGAGAACCGACTGTTTCGCGCCCTCGTGCAGCGTCAAAAGCGCGGACACGAAACGAAGCTCCTGTGTCGCATCGAGCGCGCCATGTTTGACCAGACGTTTTCGCGCGTTGAGAGCACTCTGATGCGCCGGGTTGACCAGAAGGAGAACGGAGGAAGAGTGCAGTATGTCTGCCATATCGCCCGTGCCAGGCAAGTCTGAGGAATTTGTGAGATGGGCATGAAGCGCTTCGCGACAGCGTCGGAATGTCGGGATGCTCTCCAAGTATGCTTTTCACGCCAGCTTCCGTGGTACACCAAGGTTGCCCTCAATGAAGAGGAAGGGCGCGTGTGGGTTGGATTCCTCGGGCATGCCTTCCGCAAGCCATTCGGAACCGTCTCCGGGGAGTAACTCGATCGATATCCTAGGAGACGACCAGTAAGTATCCGAGAGTCGAAAGTTCTCTCTGCACAATGGCTCGTAGTCCACGCTGCTTACGGAGGTGAGGCCAAAATTCGGCCTAGCTTGAGAGTCAACGCAGACATTCGTGGTAGGAAGTATTCCTTGCTTCAAGTTGCCGACGCTCTCGGAACGTTGTGCGCAAGTTCAAGTGGTGCGCGGCGGTGAGCGCCTCTCTCGGAACACTCAGTACTTACTAGCCCCGATCCGATCTGATTTTGCTAAATGTCGCTTATCCTTGTGAAAGGTCTAGTACGCTTCATCGCGCTGCGACTAGGTTTTGAGGTGGCCGTCTATAGGTCTAGCGCACAGGCGGACTCGAAATAAAGACACGCAGTGTTCCTACTAGGGGCCCGGCGAGGTCGGCGCTGGCCGGCACTGGGCAGCACCGGGTCAGCGCCATGCGCAGGCGCTTGTGCGCGAACTTGTTGGGCTCACTCTCGACGACCACCTACGACGACGAGGTCGCCTCGAAAGAGTCGCTTTTTGCCTTCAAATAGCTCTCCGATTCCAACTCACGGGCTCCTTTTTGGTTTTGATCTCTGTTTTCACCGCCCACTGCACCCTGCTTTCACGTCGGTGACGTCGCTTGCATGCTAGCCCGATTGCACCTTTCGGAATTTGCTATCTGGATTCCGCTAACTACCACACACACCTGCCGTGGTCATGGGATAATAGCACTCAACGCGACAGCACGCGAAAATCACGGCTTCGTGACGAAGCACGGCGCAGGCGAGCCCACGCCCGCCGCCCACCCATTCAACGGCTCGACCTGCACCGTCGTCCGTGCTCGGCGTATAGCCGGGCCCTAGCCCAACCATCGTAGCTAGACGCGATGCGCACATGTGTCTCCTGCAGACGGGACGAATGCTTAGTATGAAGTGTTTACGCGGAGTGGATGGAGAGTTCGAAGCCTTATCCAAGAAGCCTAGATCGACTCATCTTTATATATGACTCGCTATAGCTTATCATGATCGACTTCATAGCTGCCATTGCTCTCGTATGAGCCCTCAAAGTACCTGCTAGACAGTGCTCAAGTGGTTGATCGGAAAGTGAGTAGGTGACGAGTACTTGTGGCATACCACTGGTCCACAGATAAGCCATGGTACTAACAGTAATCCAATCGCAGCCATGTCCCAAACGCAGCAGAAGATACTGATCGTCGGAGCGGGATGCTTCGGTCTCTCGACAGCCTACCATCTCTTGAAGAGAGGCTACCAGAACATCACGGTCATTGACAGATCCCCCGTACTCCCGGCTCCCGATGCCGCCAGTACCGACATTAACAAGAGTAAGTGACCCCACTTGTCAGCTGATGCGATCTACTAACAAAACTCTATGGACAGTCGTACGAAGCTCGTACGCTGACACCTTCTATGCTCGCCTTGCCCGAGAGGCCATCGCCGACTGGAAGGATGCGGAGTTGTGGGGCGACACTTACCACGAGTACGCACTGACACTAATCACCCTTGCACCCCGCCGTCGCGATCATACTGAGACGCTCTTTCTCTAGGTCGGGCGTATACTGCCCTCTGATAGCCGGAGAGGAGTATACCGACAAGGCCTACGAAAACGACGTCGCCGCCGGAGCGCGCATCGAGCATCTCTCCGGCGCCGACGCGATCCGCAAAGTCTTCCCTCCAGGCGTCAGTGTTGTTGTCCCGGAGAACGCGCGCGGCTGGCTCAACCGCGACGGAGGCTGGGCATTTGCGTCCCAGGGGATAACGCGCTTGATGGACAAGGTCGCTTCTCTGGGCGGGAAAATCGTTCCCGGCAAAGCCGTTGCGGAGCTGCTCAAGACGGACGGGAAGACCGCGGGCGTGCGTTGCGAGGACGGGACCGTTTTCGAGGCGGACCTCACGGTGCTTGCCGTGGGGTCGTGGACAGCCTCTGCGTTCCCTGAGCTTTCCTTGCAAGCCCAGTGCTTGGCGACAGGGTTTGGGTTTATACTGGGCGCACTCCCTCCGAGCTGACCATAATGGAATAGGCAAACGGTAGCTATGATCCAGCTCACTCCCGAGGAGGGCGACCAGTACCGCGACTGCCCCGTAGTCCTCAACTTCGTCACGGGTGTTTACATGTTCCCGGTACGCGTGCTCACCTTGAGCTGTTACAGATGATCTTCTTATACGTCTCCCGCAGCCTAACAAGGACAACATCGTGAAATTGGCCATTCACGGCGGGGGATACACCCAGACGGTCGAAAACGCGAAGTCCGCCCAAGTCATCTCCACCCCGCGCACACTCACGTCGCACGGCGAGGATGGGCTCCGCATTCCCAAAGCTGCCGTGCAGAAGCTGCGTGCCGAGCTGACGCAGGTGTATCCCGAGCTGGCGAAGAAGCCCTTTGCAGCCACGCGGCTGTGCTGGTGCGTGTCCACTGTGCAAAATACATGATTTGTTGATTGACAGGAGCGCGACCTTTTCTCGTCAACAGGTATACGGACGCCCCAGACGAGAACTGGGTGATTGGCCACCATCCGGAGGATACGAACCTCGTGCTCGCGACAGCTGGGAGCGGGCATGCTTACAAGGTGCGCACGCGTACAAGCTTGTCAATACGACGCGCCCCTCATTATATCTCTTCATCGCAGTTTCTCCCTGTGGTGGGTCGCTTGGTCGCCGACGCTATCGAAGGCAAGCTGCCGTCGGATGTCGCTAGCAGGTTCGCAGTCAACCGCCCGCATGCCAAAGACGGGGTCGTCGCGCCAGAGCTACGCTACCAGCCCGCGGAGGAACTCGTCGTCGATCAACTGTGTGGACCAGACGATCTACTCCCCGTGCCCTCGTAAGGAACGGTGTGCTTGAGGGAGGTGTTGAAAGAAGTCCCACGCACAACGAAGATGTATACTGTCGCCGTTAGCTGGTTGTGCGGTCTATTCATTAAAGTATCATATACAAATGCAGCACTTCTACGTGTACTTTTTCATCGCAAGAAAGCAGGTGCAAGAATCCAGTCCACAAAATGTTCTCGCACTCTCGCGAGTTTTCGGTTGGCAAGGTCAAGCGCGACTATGCGCGGTACCCGACCCACTCGCGCCAGGACTTCACCTCGGAGGGTATCCGGTCCTCGGTGTACTCCCTGAGGCCGCCCTCGGGGATCTTCTTCGCGAGAGCCTCGACGAAGAGCTGTGCGCAGCGCGCGTTGTTCAGCAGGGGCAGGCCGAAGTCGACCGCATTCCTAATAGGCATAATTAGCAAATGAGCCTTATCCAGCCAATGAAAGCAGCAGCAGCGAAGACGTACCGGCGGGCGACGTAATCCTCGTCGGTGGCGTCCTTTCCGCGGAACTTAGCCAGGTTGATGACACACTCGATGTCGTACTCGTCAAACACCTCGCGCAGCAGGCGCTTGTCCGTCTTCGGGAAAAAAATGCGCTTCGCCGTGACGTACGGGATCGAGTTCAGGAACTCCTCGACCGCGGGCGACGAGCAGTACAGCTTGAAGCCGAGGTCGACAAGGCCCTTCGCGATCGTCTTCATCTCAGGCTTCGTCACGTCGCCACCGATGAGCACGCCCGTGTTCGCGCGCGGCTTCTTGAAACCCGTCGTGCTCAGCAGCGACGCCCAGTACGCCTCCTGGATGTCCTTGCCGAAGCTCGCGACCTCGCCGGTACTCGCCATTTCTGCGCGTGGGTGTCATTCCCTCGTCAGCTACTAATCGCACCACAGCGTGTGCTGCACTTACCGACACCGAGGAAGGGGTCCGCGCCAGCGAGACGGGTCCACGAGAACTGTGAGACCTTGATCGCGGTGTAGTCGCGCTTCTCCGCCATCAGGTCCACCGGCTCAGGCACGTCCTGGCCGACGATAGCGGCGGTCGCCGTATCGATGAAGTTCCGGCCGAGGACCTTCGAGACGAAGGGGAACGAGCGCGACGCGCGCAGATTGCACTCGATCACCTTGAACTCGGCGGGCTCGCCAGGGGTCGCGGACGCCTTGCGGATGACCTGCATGTTGTACGGGCCGGAGATCTCGAAGGCGGCAGCGACCTTCTCTGCGATCTGCTTCAGGTGCGCCATTTCCTCCTCCAGGAGCGAGAACGGCGGGAGTACAAGGGTGGCGTCGCCAGAGTGCACGCCGGCGTTCTCGACGTGCTCGGAGATGGCGTGGAGCAGGAGGCGGCCGTTGTGCGCGACGGCGTCAACGTCAATCTCCTGCGCATCGTCGATGAACTTCGTGATGACGACGGGGTGGAGGGGAGAGACGGAGGCGGCGGCAGAGAGGTTGTACTCGAGCGACTCCTCCTCGTAGACGACGTTCATGGCCGCGCCAGAGAGAACGTACGACGGACGGATGAGGACGGGGTAGCTGACGCGCGCGGCGAACTCCTTGGCAGCGGCAACGGAGGTGACCTCCGTCCACTCCGGCTGGTCCACCCCAATGCTGTCGAGGATGGAAGAGAACTTGTGACGGTCCTCCGCGTTGTCGATCTTCTCAGGATCCGTACCGAGGACGGTGACGCCGGTCTGCTTGAGACGGAGCGCAATGTTCTGCGGTAGTTGACCTGTGATAATGTCAGACAAGCAAATCATGAGAGTCAACTGAGCACATACCTCCGACGCTGACGATAACTCCCTGCGACTGCTCGAGCTCATAGATATCCATGACACGCTCGAAGCCGAGCTCCTCGAAGTAGAGGCGGTCGGCCTCGTCGAAGTCGGTCGAGACGGTCTCCGGGTTGTAGTTGATCATGATTGTGCGCTTGCCCATTTCACGGAGCTTCCGTGCGCAGGTCACCGCGCACCAGTCGAACTCGACACTGCTACCAATGCGGTACACACCGGAGCCGAGGACCATGGTGCCGTGCTCGTCGAACTTGACGTCGTGCTCAGACGCGTTGTACGTGGTGTAAAGGTAGTTCGTGTGCGCGGGGTACTCAGCGGCGAGGGTATCGATCCGCTTGACGAAGGGCGTGATGCCGAGCGACTTGCGGTGCGCGCGGACGGAGAGTTCAGACGAGGAGACAAGGTCGGCGATGTGCGGGTCCGAGAAACCCATGCGCTTGGCCCGTTGCATAAGCTCATGGTCGATGACCTCGAGCGAACCAGCGGCCTTCAGCGCGTACACCGTGTTGACAATGTTCTCGATCTTGTAAAGGAACCACTGCAAGAATAGTCGCGATGAGAATCGTGCTCGGCGAGATATGTGGTCTCCATACCTTGTCAATCTTGGTCAAGTCGTGAATCTTGTCAACCGTGTACTGCTTGTTGAAGATCGCGTATGCGATAGCAAACAGGCGCATGTCCGTAGGCTTGCTCAGCGCGGTGTCAATGTCCTCGGGCTCGATGTAAGCCTCGAAGCCCTTCCAGCGCGGGTCAATCTGCCGAATAGCCTTCTGGAGTGATTCCTCGAAAGTGCGACCGATAGCCATGACTTCTCCAACGGACTTCATGGCTGAGCCGACCTCGCGGTTGACGGCCGTGAACTTCGCAAGATCCCACTTGGGGATCTTTGTGACGATGTAGTCCAGAGAGGGCTCGAAGCATGCCGTAGTCGTCTTCGTAACTGCGTTGGGCAGCTCCGGGAGAGTGTGGCCGAGAGCGATCTTGGCAGCCGTGTACGCGAGAGGGTAGCCAGTAGCCTTGGACGCCAAAGCACTGGCATCGTGTAGGTAAATGGCATGGTCACAAGGAGAGGCAAAATGACATACCTTGACCGACTCAACCGGGCGTTGACCTCGATGACGCAGTATTCGCGTGACGTTGGGTTCAGTGCGTACTGGATGTTACACTCGCCGATGACACCGAGGTGGCGGATGACCTTGAGCGCAGCAGACCGAAGCATGTGGTACTCATCGTCGGGGAGCGTCTGGGACGGCGCTACGACGATGGAGTCACCAGTGTGCGTGCCGAGCGGGTCGAAGTTCTCCATGTTGCAGCAGATGATCGTGTTCTAGGGGCGCGTGAGCAGGGTCAATGGATCGTCGGTGGAGTAAAACTTACGTCGGCAGCGTCACGGACGACCTCGTACTCGAGTTCCTTCCAGCCCTTCATGCTCCGCTCGATGAGAACCTGAGGACTCAGACTGAGACTCTTGGCCGAAAGGTCGCGCAGCTCGTCAGCGTCGTTCGCGAAGCCAGAACCGAGGCCACCGAGGGTGAACGCGGACCGCAGAATAACCGGGTAACCAATTTTCTCCGCTGCGCTGAGCGCATCGTTGACCGATGAGACAGCCGTAGACGTCGCAGCCGGGATGTCGATTTCTGCGAAACATAGGATTGATTAGTTCTCCGTTTGACAAGGTCTTGTCTAACAAAATACTGAAACAAATACAGTGCGTTGCGATAGCGGACAGAGCTGCAGGGAAATCCCAAAGCGCGTGCGCGCTCATGAACGCGTCTTCCGATACGATCACGTGACGTCATCGAAAAGACACGAAAACCCTTTTCCCTTCAGCAGAGCATGGAGCCATGATATTGGGAGTGCAATGTTGCGAAAAGAAAATGGTTAGAAAAAGAACTCACCCTTGAGTGCCTGGACGAAAAGGTCACGGTCCTCGGAGACCTCGAGCGTACGGATGGGGGTACCAAGAACACGAACACCGAGGCGGTCGAGCACACCCATGCGGTCAAGCTCGATGCCGACGTTGAGCGCGCTCTGTCCACCGAAAGTAAGCAGAATACCATCCGGGCGTTCCTTCTCCAAGACGTAGGCGACATAGTCCGCAGTGATAGGCAGGAAGTAGACCTCCGACGCGAGCTGGTGCGAGGTCTGCCACGTCGCAATGTTGGGGTTAATGAGGACCGCATCGACTCCCTCCTCGCGGAGGGCCTTGAGTGCCTGAGAACCGGAGTAGTCGAACTCGCCAGCCTGGCCGATGCTGAGACCGCCGCTGCCTACGATGAGGACCTTGCTGACGTCCGGGCGGGGGATCTTGGGCAAAACCTTCGCCGAAATTTTGCGCGCGAGCTCCGAGGGCGAGTTCAGGACGTGCTCCCCCTCAGACTCGCTGGCGAACGAGCCGACAGCAGCCTGCGCGACGGCTCTGACCGGTCTGGTGGGGGCGAGGGCGCGGCGAGCATGAGAGACGTGCAGCTGCCGAGTAAATCGTGGGGAGCCCAGTATTCGAGATGGACTCCAGCAGGGCTGGAGTCGTAAGAGGCCCATGGTCATCGTCGGCGACGTTGACGGTGGTGGCGAGAAGGAAGCCCAGACGCGAATGACTCGGGGCGCGAGCTCATTTTTGGTGGGCGTTTGCCGGATAAGTCGGGGTGTTATCGACCCCAAATTGGGTTAGCCCGCCCCACTACTATCTTACCGCGTTCTTCGGACTCTTTCTATTGACTCAACAACCACCAAGGTATTCAGCCTGATGTCCTTGCGACGATCCGCTGCCTCTTGACAATTGCTCCACGATGTATGCGTCACGATCACGGCTACTATCAACTATTTTACACGGGTGAGTACTAGTACTCCTAGGCCGTTGCGCGCGAAGCTGATCAGTCTGGTACTCATTAGTAGTAGCTCATGTATACTGGTAACGCTACGGTGATACCGCAGAAAGGGTTTGAAAGTCGCTTTCAAAGGCATGGTAATTGAGAGTAAGCCGCGCGTTGGACTAGAGGAAAACCAGAAGTGCGCGCGCCTGAAAAGAGTCACTGGTCTTGCGGAGGAGCTTGCTCAAAGAGACGAAGAGCGCAGTCAATCCATGCAGCCCACAGCGAAGCAGCGGGGAATAATCTTTTATTCTAGCTCTATCCGAGGCAGTCGGGTATAGGTACAAATACAGGCGGGGTCTGCATCCGCAACAAGATATACAACAGGGCTCGAAACCGGAAACATCCCATTGCAAAAAATCAGCGTTCATTCTATGCAAACAGCCCGACCACGATATCCTGCATCTTCCCGTCCCGGATCGCCTCGTGGATGAGCGAGATGTTTTGGCCGATCGTCTGCTCGTCCACGCCCGGGCCGTGCTGGAACTTGTGCAGGTTCTCGCCCCCATGCATGTGCACGCCCAGCGTGACGCGGATGAACTCGTACACGGGGCGCGAGCGGCCGATGTACGCGCTCGCGGGCGCGGGGCCCTTCTCGCCGCTGAGGTACTGCTCGCGGAGGCCCGTGAGCGCGGTGAGCATGCGCTGCGCGATCGTCTGGCGGAACTCGACGATCTGGTCGAGCGCGGCGAGGCTCGCGCGCTGTGCGCAAAAGTCGACAAGCGGGGTGGTGGTCGAGGCGGCGACGGTGCGCATGCGCAGGGACGCGTCCATGGTGCTCGTGGACTCGAGCGAGCGGCGGATCTGGCGCGAGATGAGCGGGAGGAGCGCGGTGAGGTCGGCGTTCGAGAGGTGGGGCGCGTAGAAGCGCGTCAGCTCCTCGCGGAGAATGGTGTCGACCTCGAGCTGGAACTCGTGCTGCATCGCGCGCAGGTCGAGCGCCTGGCAGAGCACGTAGAGGTAGCTTGCCGTGAGCAGCGAGAGCACCTCGAGCGAGTTGATCGTCGCGCGGGCCGAGATGAGGGCCAGAGAGCTGTGCCAATGTCAATACTGGATTGCATGCCTGAAGGAGTATGATAGTACGTACTTGACTGCCTGGTTGTGCATCTCAGCCGACTGAATGTGCGTCGACACTGGGTTGGCGAGATAGCCAAGCTCTCCAACGTACGCCGCCGCGTGGATGTCGATACCCTTGACGTGGTAGTTGAGCGACGGGTCGGTCGAAGCCAGGTTGGGGGGCAGGCCGCGGTTCATCGCCGGGTTGATGAGCTCAGTGCACTGCGCGAACAGGAGCTTGCCGACGTGGTGGAGCGAGAGACGCGTCTTCTCCATGGCGTTCGTGACAGACATCGCCTGGAAGTTGCCGCCGTGGTGGATCTCGCCGGTCTCGCCATCAATGAGCGGGTTGTCGGTGGCTGTTTCAGTGGTAAGACTCCGCAGTTCACTGTAACAGAAATAGGCTGATGCTTACTGGAGTTGCACTCGAGGGTGACGGTGGCGAGCGCAGAGAGGATATCCTCCACCTGAGGGCCGAGGAACTGCGCCGCGGTGCGCAGGGGGTACCTGTCCTGGCGGAGCTCACCGATGTCGGCGGAGATGTGCTTCTCGTCCTCGCTGGTGACTGCGAGCTGCGATCCCTCGAGCAGGTTGTCGATCGTGGCGGCGACCTCGACCTGCCCGGGATGCGGGCGAGCGACGGCGTGGATGAACGGGTCGAATGAGCCGCGGGCGCCCACCATGGCCTCCGTGCAGAGGGCCGTGCAGACTTGGGCAAGGAGTGTGAGGTGGACAGCGTCGTTGATAGCAAGCGCCGCGACCGAAGCGGAGAACGCGGTACCGTTGAGGATACCGAGGTGCTCCTTCGATGCGAGCGAGATAGGCTCGACGTTGTGCGCCGCAAGCGCTTCGCGGGAAGACACGATCCGACGTCCCTTGAACGTGTTCGGGCCCTCGAAGACGCGGATGGACGGGTTGCCGATGAGAACGCCCGCGATGTAGGACAGAGGCGAAAGGTCTCCGGAGGCGGAGATACTGCCGCGCAGCGGGACAAGCGGGACGATGTTCTCGCGAAGGAGGGCGTTCATGCGCTCGATGAGCTCCCAGCGTACACCGGAGTGTCCGCGGATCAGGGAGTTCATGCGCACCAGGATGGCACCACGGACCCACGACTCGGGCATGCTCGTCGACGAGAGCGGGTCGAGGAGCGGGAGGGCGGTGGGCGCCGCCTCCGTGTCTGAAGGCAGCACACCCACCTGCTGGTGCTGAAGCAGGGCGTGGCCGAGCGTCAGGGGGTCATTCGTGCGAGTGTCGGCTAGCAGATTGAATGACGGTGAGAACGTTATTTTAGACTTCAAAAGCTTCGCGCGTACCACTTCCGCCGAAACCTGTGCTGACGCCGTAAACGCTCTTCTCGCTCTTGACCTTATCGGCGATGACCTGGCGACTCTTGAGGACGCGCTCCTGGATGTGTGGTGCGTCGTCGAGCACGACGCTGGCGCTGTGCCGCGCTACCGCGGTGACAGCGGGGATGGAAAGGGTCTCGCCATCGACAACAACCGATTCGCCCTGCCTGTTGTGGTCGTTAGCATTGTGATCCACGGCTGACGCGATATAACAAGGGATGCGGGGTCGGAGGTGTTGCAAGTCGCAAAAGTATCAAGCGGCGCAGCGCCCTTCCCGAAAAGGGAACGGATGTTCCAAATATAGTAAGTCTTCGGTGGTTGGCGCTCTGCGCCACAAGTACGTCTTAGGAGTTCGCGGAGCTTGCAGAGCTCATAACGGAAGAGGGTGGCAATGGAGAGGATAAGCAACTGAGACAATACTCACTTGTAGTTCTCGAGCGCGCGGTGTGCCTCAAGGAACTTAGCAAGGAGCTGGGCGGGGGAAGCCTCCGACTTGGTAGCCTCGGGCTGAGTGGAGGACGGCACCGACTTCTTCAGAAGGAAGGGGTTGGGCTCGAAGGTCGAGGAGTAGGTGTGGGACTTGGTGTATCCTGGCATGGTGTTCGAGGGCGAGGAAGGCGACTGTGTTGAACAGTAGAGGGAAGTGGGCGGGGCTGGTGGTTCGGGGGGGAAAGTGGTTCAGCCGATGTGCTGTGAGGAATACGCACCGGGGACAGACTTTTTATACCACTGCAGCCACGGATTTTCGACGCGGCGGGCTCGCGAACGATACAACGGCTGACAGCGGGAACGATCACTCGGTGCCCTGTGCGCTCATCGTGGATCTCTTGCTGTGACTGAGCCCGGCCGGATCTTCGGAGAGGCTCGTGTCCACCAGCAGCCGGCTCCGCGCGCCTTCCTCCCGCGCGCCCGCTTCCTCGTCGCATGGGGCCGTCCCCTTGTCTTTATCGCGCCTCCATATTCCTTGATAGAAATCAGACGAAGGCAGTCGAATATCCTTGGACCCCAGGGAGGACTGGTAAACCCAATATTGCAATAGCGCTCGTTCGACCTAAACGGCCTTCCGGAGCGCCCTCGTCCGAGCGCTGGCAGACTCCGGCCGGCGAGAAATGAGATGCACAGCAATTCTCATGAAGGCACTCAAAAACTCACAGCCATACGTCGGACACGGTATGTATCATGTCATTCCCTGCCTGCCATTCTACAGACCGGGCAGGCACAGCAGTACTCCGCGCTTAGTGCGGGCGCACGGAGTTGCGCAGAATCCGCTACGTTCTGAATGTTTGTTCATCGCCTGGTCAGTCAGCGTATGTCTACGGTACCGCTAGCAGCCGGTGGGCGTCGCTGCTAGAAGAGGTGGCGATGGTTATGACCGGTGCACCTACATTAGTGGCCTGTGTTCTCGACGTGGAGTGTGCCCGCGGTATTGTCATGATTCGTACCGAAGGCACACAGATGGGTGCGCATCTGTCGCAACGGTATCTCTGTTCGTGGAAATGAAGCAAGATACAGACATCCCATCAGTCACGCCGTGGAGTTCGAAGCACGGATGTGGAAGCGTGTATACCTCGGATTGGGAGCGCGAAGCTAGGAGGCAGAGGCGGCCTGGAAGGGCGTGTCTCCGGCGTACTACGTGCGGCGCCCGCTGGGCGGGAAGGGCGCACAGCCGTGCACTATTCGGATGCAGTCTCTCGCGGGACGTGCGAGTTCCAACACTGCAGATCTCTCGTACCACGGCCCTCAAGGTCGGAGGAATCCTCGGGAACGCCTGGGAACCGAGGCTGAACCTCATTCATTGCACCTTTTGGGAAAGAAGAGGCTTCGTGGCGCCGAACGGAGTCAGTCTAGTGGCGGGATACATGGAATGTCGGGGGGCGCGTGCCACCATACTTCTCACATTTCCGCTTTCCGAGGGGGAGGGGCGTACCCTGTCCGGAAGGCGCGGACACGGCGGGGAGAAAGTTGTACGTCAAACCTGTCATATACGTTCGTACCCTACAGTCTTGTGGTAAGTTCATCCAAACGTGAGTGTACCCCTACCAAGTTATTTCCAGGGCCCACCTCGCGGTGCGCCCGACAATGTTAGGCTTCGCACAAGTATTGAATGGACGGCGCGCCCCTCGTCGCACGCTGCTGGCAGTCGCAGCGGTGATAACGATGGCGGGGCGGCGGACCCTGTGAGGGCCACGTCCGCCGCGCCAAGGACCTATCGTGTGGCGACGGATGTTTTGTGGGCTACGAAGAAGCGTATGCTGTACTCACGTTTGATCGAAGGCCGCCGGGCTTCGCGTCCCATACCGTCGGTATCCGCATATGGGAGCACAGTGGTCACCGGCTTCGGTATTCACCAGGGAGTATACTCGCAGATAAGTACCACAGCACTGGTCTAGCCGTAGTCGTACATCCTAATCGCCCTTGAGAGGGTAAGCTGGCTCCGCCATGGCTATTCCGGAAGGAAACATCTTAACACATACCCATCGAACAGCACTCAATGCGCCACTATGGACACACTGTCCTAGGGAGCACCCCTTTCTGCTCTGCGATTGACTGCGATGGGAACGCCACCACACGGACGCCGCCAAGTATGCATGGGCAGAATCGCACGTTTCAAGACAGAACGGCGGCTGACTTCACACGGAACCGCCCATTCACTTTGTTGAGCCTGCAGGGACCCTTTTGTTCGGGACTATGTCCCAAGACATGTATCAGGAGTTCGCACAGGATGCCTAGCAGTCAAGCAGAGAAGCACGCACACCATCTGCTGCTGATCCTTCTGCGTCGGTTGACGCCGCCGTATCCGCAATGTGTATGGAGCCTCGGCGAAAGGGTCCGTTGTCCGGCGACAACCGAATGACATGAATGCACAACTGCGTCCCGAGCGTCCTTGATCGCACCTCTTGCGCTGCGGCCATGTCCGAGGGGACGCTGGCAATATCGACGGGGCCCGAGGGGGTGGTGTTGCTGTCAAATAAAACGCCTTCCGGGGATGGCGCTGCGGCGTATCAGCGCGCGGGGCACCACCGCGCCCTATGTCGCGCCGTCCGCGCTCGCAACTACTCTGTCAAACCTGATGGTGTAGCGCAGTAAGGCGGAGGCATGACAGAACAATCTACTCACTAGGCACGACAGCACGTCAGGCTGCCACCGTTCGCCTTAATTTCTGTCTGACGCAGGGCGGTGTGTAGCCGATGGCAATCCCTGCAGTCATCTTGAACGCCGAGCTCAATCCACGGGCGAGCGGCGCCGTTGATTCGACTCGCAATCTGTCAGTCTATTGCTTCCAGTCGTGACGGAGTCTCCAGGTCCATGTGCTGATCCTCACTTGGCTTGATAGTAAGGGTCGATCAGCTTGATCCTAGAGGAGCACGTCAACGGAGAGTTGCAACAAGGCTGAAATGTTCAAGCTGTGTTCGCGACAGCGCCGGAGGTCCGAGGAGCGCGGCATTTGCCGGTGCTGCTACCCGCCGGACCGGCCGTGAGGGGAATATACCACCGCCGGAGCGGTGTCCGGGGTCTTTACAATTTGCTGAACGGGCCGCTCGAGCTTTCGTCTGTACTTCTCGTTCCGCCACTACAGACGTCTCTGCTTTTCTGCTCTCTTGCTTGGACTCTCGAAAAAGCTAGGATCATGGTACGTTCACAGACCAAGCATATGCTGTATCAGGACTGAGTCGTCCGCGCAGGTCCGGGCAAAAAAGACGCGCAAATTCGCTGCAGTCAAGCGACTGCTAAACCCAAATGATATCCGACTGTGCGTTCCTTTGCCAAATTATCTCCGGTCACGTCCGAACGGCGTTCTTGCAGGAAGGAGAACCAGCTGAAGCAGCAAAAGAAGGAGGAGGCGGAGAAGGCGAAGGCCGTGAAACGAGCGTGCGTCCTATTCCTGTCTTGCACGTTGGTCGAGTCTCACTTCATGCGCTGCAGTCCCCAGGTTGCGTCGTCGCTATTCCTGCAACACAACTCCGCCCTTGTTCCGCCATACCGCGTCCTCATCGACACCAACTTCATCAACTTCAGCTTGCAAAACAAATTGGAGCTTATTGGCGGCATGATGGACTGCCTCTACGCTAAATGTAAGCTTCTCCGCACGCCGTCGCCGCCCGCATCCCGCCTCATGACCGCGTTTCACGAAGGCATCCCGTGCGTGACCGACTGTGTCATGGCCGAGCTCGAGAAGCTGGGGCACCGCTACCGAGTTGCACTGAGGTAAGTCACTCCCCCTGGTCCGGAGACTCGTCCGCCGCTGACACGCGACCAGGGTTGCGCGAGATCCGCGATTCGAGCGGTTGACATGCTCGCACTCCGGGACGTACGCGGACGACTGCCTTGTGCAGCGCGTGACGTCGCACAAGTGCTACATCGTAGCGACGTGTGATCGCGAGCTGCGGAGGCGGATACGCAAAATCCCTGGTGTCCCTCTTATGTACATCGTGCGGCGCCGCTACGCCATCGAGCGGCTGCCGGACCAGGGCGCGCCGTCATAGTTCATGATATGGACATCGGATTGTCATGTTTTGCTTCGCGTTTGTAGCCTGTAGCTGTGAGTGTTTTCGTCGCACTTGCTTTGTGCGCACCGCTGATCGTTATGTCGCCTGCAGGTATCTAGTCTCCTCGTTGTCGGTTCCACCATAATATTAGCGAGGCATTGTAGCCGACATCCCATGTTTATTCATTGGAACGTTCGCCCACAGAGTTTGTTTGCATCCTTCGCGTCTATGGGAGCAGACGTGGGGATGATCTCACTGTGAGAAGACCCCCTCGGTGTGGGTGTGGGTCGAGTGCAGGCTAACTGCGCCCTCTTACAATCACAGGGACGGCGGCCCAATAGAAAGCGAGTGGGGTTTTACGTCTACCATCGATGAGCTCTCAGGAAGTGGGCGGAAACGCAGCGTGCGCGGCGGCCGGGCCTCTGCACCCATCACGAAGCCGTCCACCCCTCGATGAATTACGGCTGAACATGACGGGGGCTCGGCTCACAGGAACGTCATACCGCTAAGGTTTTGGCTGGAGAACAGCCTGCAGGAATGTCTTGGGGCACAGTCTGATCCCGGATATGCTCCGTGGGCATTCCACCTCGAACGTCTGCCGCGCTTACGAGGGGCTCTAGCGGACCGATTGTTGTCAACGAAGAGCGACCTGCTGGCCAGGCTCGGGCGGATCTTGCGGAAGCCCTGTTTATCTGGCGACACCTACGTACGGTGGGCTTCGGGGGAGGACGATCGTCGCTGCTATCGTCTGGCGGGCCAATGGTGAGTCGCAGTGGCCCTGGATGTATCATGTCATTTTTGCACGACTTATCGTCAACTTTAGATTGTCCCTTGCGCAGCCGGGCATGATACGGACACGGTCGCTTTTAGACTGTGCGAGCGGGTTGGTGTCGTCGGTGCTTCGGCGCACTACGGTGTTGTAATTCAATCGAGTGCCTTGGCCGAAGGCTCGCCGGAAAATGATTTTTCCACAGTGGCGCAGGCGCAACCCTAACCTTGGCTGGGTTCGCGTCGGTGGCGCGTACATGAGCAAACAGAGACAAATAACGCGACGCGTGAATGCCGCAGTGACGCGACGCGGTGGCTTGACCAGTTACCACGACCATCTGTCTCTGCTCTCTCTAGCACGCGCCATTCGAGATGGGAAAGGAAGACGATATTATTGCTGAGGGTTACCAGTACCAATGGTCCCCAAAATCGGACTTGTCACTCACGGAATTTCTGACGAAGGTTCGTAATTAACGGCCGCTCAGGCGCACTTTCTTCGCAACAGACCGACCAGATCGCTATATGACTAACCTCTGCGTGCTTCTCTACTTGGTTCTAGTATAAATCCTCTATGGTCCAGAACGACGGAACGAAACCGGTAATACATGATTTGCCAGTACTTACCCACCGGTATAGCTTGTAGCTTACCGATCGTGGCTGGCAGTGGCTTTGGGTTCACAAGTCCGACACCGCATCGGAGGTCAAGGGTGTCGAAGAGGCCGTGAAGGAAGCTTCGGCGTTGCGTAGGTCCTTGGTCGTACGGAGGCCAGGTTCGCCGCTAAACGTATCCTCAGTATCTCAGATCACGGAGCGGGTCCAAGAGATTCAGGTATAGTTGGAAGACGTTATCTCTGCGTCCGATGTTCGGCGGGCTCGGCGTATTGATTTTAGGTTTATGTAACAGGACGATGCTTCCATCCCTATACGCTCCAACAAGAAGAAGGGGCTCAAGAGCAAGAAGGAACTGCGCGAGGAAGTATGCTCCTGTTGGTAACCAGGGTACGCATCCCTTGGCTGACAATCCGACCGCAGGTCCAACAAGGGGCATCCGAGAAACTCAAAGACATCGCCACGAAGCACGGCTACGTGGTCGGGAAGTGGTGCGTGGTGTCATGGGTCACTGATGATGCCAATCGATCCGCTCACGCTGTCCCGAAAAGGCTCATATTTGCCCAGCCAGACAGAGTCGATGCTCTCTGGAACTCTGTAGCCAGTAAGTCAGGCATTCCGAGGCCGGATCTAGTTCTTAGATAGGGGCACACAGCTTCTCTTGTATCAGGGCCCCTCTCGTCCACGAGCGCGTATCGCGCGAAGGTCGCTACCAGCCCGCAAAACGACACGCCCAACTATTCCCACCTCGTATGCGTCTACGTACCAGATGTGTACGATCAGCCGAGCGTCACGGAGGTTTGTGAATGTCTCCATAAATTACAAAGCAGCTCACCTTCCGTATCAAGGTGATGAAGGTCCTGCTGCGCAATCATGGTCTGAACCTCATGGGCGTCAAGTCCGATCTGTACACCTCCATAGGCAGGCACTACCAGCGCCCTCACCGCCTCACTAGCACTGATATCTTACGTCCTTCAAGGTATCGACAGCAAGCATCCGAGCGGAATCCCGTCGACGGTGACTCAGGCAACCTGTGCCTGTCTTGTCGCACAAGCTGACGTGCCCCATCATCCGCACAGGTCTGGAAGAATACGGCGCTCATGAAGGATACGGAGATTAAGGCATGTCCTCCGCGCTCCGGTGTCAGCTATCTGCTCATAACAAGGGGGCGTAACAGGCACTCAAAGAGGAATACTTTGCGGAATTGAATGCCGCCAAGACTACGGCTGCGGAGGAGACGGCCGCGAAGAAGGCCGCTGCCGGTGAAGCGAAGAAGCCCAAACCCAAGCTCAAGAAGAAGGGAGGCGACGACCCCTTTGCATCCGACGACGAGGATGGCGAGGAGAAGGCGGAGCCCGAGGTGTCCGCTCCTGCCGCCGTGAAGGGCAAGAAGCCGGCGCCAAAGAAGAAGGCTGCGGCCGATGCTTTCGCATCCGACGAGGATACGGCGGACCCGTCGCCTAAAGGGAAGGCACCACCCAAAAAGCGGGGCGCGAAGAGATCGAAGGACGCTGACGAGGACGGATCCGAGGATGAGGCCCCGAAGAAGAAGAGGGGCAGGGCGTAGTTCCACCCGCTGCCACACCCCGTGGCAAAGACGACCCGCGTGGGTCTCTGGTAAATTCCGTTATATTCCTAGTACCGCATGCTCCGTGTTCTTGTTCTCATGCTCTCGCTGATGCTTTGTCTACCCCGTTCGGATAGTTCATTTCCTCCTTAATGTGAGCTGGATTAACTTCCGCGCTCGTTGCTACAGTTACGGAATGCTGATTGCCACGCGCTACAGACACACTCTAACGCCATTGTCGAGAGATCGCACTGCCGCAGCGGCTGTCGATGCGGGCGTATCTTGCGCTCAGCTGCTACCGGGCGCGCTCTATGACGCGCCGTCGGACCGTACGACATTCTACAGCGAGATAGCGCCACGGCAGAAGTCTAAACCATCACGGACGGGGTGCTGCGGATACTTTCATTTGGCGTTCATTTGAAGGGTGCAACGTGCTCGGCACGGGATACGACCGGTAGATACCGACACGGCGACACCGCTGACTGAATCCTAAGACACCCTCGGTGAGCGCATTCTGTGCTTTCATAATTGTCTCATGGGCCCTCCCAGCCGCGCGCTGGCACCTATGGCTGAGAACGCTCTGTTCGCTCACGGGGGCTCATTGTCCTTCCGTCTTCCTCCCGACCACGACGACCGCCCCGTCAAGCTTGGCCATCAGGATGTCGACCCCGACCACGCCGATCGCCTCGTTCAAGCGCATGCCGCTGCCGCAGCGCTGGCGTCCTTGGAGCCAACCCGTCGACGAGTCAGTCGTGCGCAGAACGACTTGTGGGCTTTTGAACAAGGTGGCCGGTGCTACGTTCGACGCTATCGCTGGACGCTTCGTCGATGTGGTCGTGCGCGCAGAGCGGAGAGGAGACGCGACGGCTGTGGAGGCCTGTGCGGGGTTGATTGTACAGCGGTGTGTAGCAGACCCCCCTCGCCTTAACCTCTATGCCAGGATGGTCCAGCGCGCGGTAGACGAGGCTGAAGGAGAAGATCTGCGCTGGCGGGGCGTGGATCCGTACTACCTGGTGAACCCGGCAGCGTCCCTGCAATCTACCCTTAGGACTGCTGTGTTAGACGAGCTGCAACTTGCGCTCGCCTCGGACGGTTCGGAGGACGCTTTGACCTTGGCAGCCTTCGTCGGAGAGCTTCTCACTCTCGGCGTCCTGAGCTGCGGTGACGTCCAAGACCTCGTCAACCTGCTCTTTACGGAGACCGGAAAGAGTTCCGACCACCACTGTATCGCCCTCTGCCGAATCCTCCGCCGCGTTGTCTCATCGACAGAGGCATCTCCGATAGTTGACGGGCTCTCCTTGGTGGAGCATATCGAGAGTGTCCTCGAAGAGGATACGATATCGCTCAAAATTCGATATATAATGATGGTAAGTTTATTCAAGCGTCCCCGCTGTTAGTGTTAGCTAACGTTTCGCAGGACATGCTCGACCAATGCTTGTACCCCAGACCTCAGGATGTCTTCTCTTCCGACCTGCAGCGGAGCGAGGTATACGGCCTCCGCGATGACGATGACGAAGAGGACAACGTAACGAGTCTGCCAACGCCCCTCATGCTGTCCTCGAACGAACCCCTCCCCATTTTCGAGCAATGTCACAAGGAGGCCAAGGCCGTCTTCGCATCCAGGGATCTGCGCCGCGCCGAGAGCTTCTGCAAGTCATTACGGACCGGGCGGCGCTATCGCTTCGTACGGGCGATGGTGTCCGTCGCTCTCGCAGGCGGCGATGACGCGGACGCGAACTTCGTCGCTACCTTCCTCTCCGAACCTACCTCACGAAACCTAGTGGACACGGCTGGAGCGCTGGCGAAAGCCTTCGAGCCCGAGGTGGCTGCGCTCGAGGACACCGTCCTGGACATCCCCTCTGCGTACCGGCTTATGGCAATCATACTTTCCGCAGCCGCGCTGTCCCAGGAGGACCTCGAAGACCTCGCCTCTCGGATCATCGTGAGGGAGAATGCGGCGCGCGAACTTCTCTTGGACGAGGTTGCGTCGCTCAGCCTAGCTCCTGCGGACGAGACATTCCGGCTGAGCGCGGTGGTGGAGGAGACGTCCGAGGATGAGGCACCCTCCTCGGAATACGCCATCGCCTACTAACGAGTCGACCTGTGTTTGGTACATTCTGTACCCCGTGTTGTAGTTTCAGCTGTCTGGCGAGTGATGTTGTTAACTTACAACATCTCCAGGGGGAACCATATGTTGCAAATCAGACGCGACTCAATCAGGCTCTCAGATTGTCGGACAGAGCCATGTAGATATCATTGACGTCACAACTATCAACCTTCAAGCTTCAACCTTCAAATTATAACCGACAGGCAGTGGAGCACATGACTATGATACAGAATATGATTTCAATGCGTAGAATAACGATCCTCAGAACAAAACAGCAATATGAAGTCCAACTGGGTTGCATCAGTCCCGTCAAGACGCGGCCTCCTCGGTATCCGCGGCAGGCTTGTGGCCGTTTGACGTGCTCGCGCGGACGCGACGCCTCTTGGGCTGCTCCGAGGCCTCTTCAGCCGGTGCCTCGCCGTTCTCCTCGGTCCTGGTGCGCTTCACGCCCCTCTTGCCGCCCTTCTTCCGCTTCTTCTTCGTCTCAGCCTCGTCGTCCTCCCCTGACCCGTCGCTTTCTGCAACCTCCGGCTTGTAGGCAAGAGCGTCGACACCAAGCCTCCGGCTGCGTCGCGGCTGCAGCTTGCGCGATTTTGACGTGGCAGTCGAGGGACCAGCGTTCTCTTCAGCGACTTCAGCGTTGGCTGCTTCGGACGCGGCGGGTGCTGCTTCCGGAGGCTGCTCCATTGAGACAGATTCCGGCTCGGCGTCGGCGTGCACCTCCTTAACTCGCTTGGTGGGCGGCGCTTCGTCCTCCAGATCGCTTAGATCGCTGCCGGAGAGCGATCCCGACGTCGCCAGACTACCTCTTTGTGACAGCTTTCCAGCGGTGCTGACCGAGTCGCCGGAAGTGGACACAGACGCTTGGGAGGGTGGTGCCATGGACGAAGAGCCCTTCGCGCGAGACACGCCGCCATTCGAGAAGGCGCGCGCGCTGATGGACTCTCTCTGCTTCAGCTTCGCGCGATGCGATTTCTTCTTTGCCTTGAGTATGACACCGTCGTCAGCGCGGGGGATGTAGAACACCTCCTGTTCGCGGAGCAGATCGACGCCGACGAGCTGGCGCAGGATGCCGACCACATATGGGGTGAAGTTAAGGGACTCGACATCACGGATGAGGCGCGGGATGTCCTCAGCCTTCACGTATCCTTGATCCTTGATCTCCTCGTCCTTCATGAGCTCCGCGTTCCCGCCGAGGGAGCAACCGGGGACAGCAAAGAGAATGCGAGGGCCGTCCTCTTCCTCGTCTTCATCCTTCAAGACGCTGACGGTATGGAAGCGGCAATTCGATCGAGTGACTGGTGAGCTCGTCGAACTCATGGCAGGGGCCTTAGACGGCACGGGTTGCGAGGAAGGGCCGGGTTCAGCGGACGCACGCTTAGCCACGACGCTCAACGACGCAGGAGGTTCGGACGGCTGCCGTTTCTGGACCACGAGAGCCGCCGGCGCCGGGGCCTGGGGCCGGCCGTGATGATGGTGTAGGATGCCATGCGTGTGGATGAACGGCGGCGGAGGGCCATAGTGTCCGTTACTGGGCAAAAGGCGATCGATGGTCGGGGAGGGCTGCGAGAGACTAGAGTATGCGCTGGGAGCGTTGGAGGCCACAGAGGACGCTCGAGAGGTCCCGCGACTGCTCGGAACGAGCATCTTCTGCGCGGCTGCGGATGAACCTCCGGACGTGCTCTCTGTAGAGTGGCTGTGCGCAACGGAAGCGTTGTCCGCATCGTCCTCATCTGATTCAGCTGTAGCCTTTCTCTTGCCCTTGCCTTTGGCCTTCGTTGCTCGTGTCTTGGCCACTTTCTTCTCTACGTGATCCATGAAGGCATTCTGCACTGAGCGTGAAGTCTTCGACCGCGTTAGCCTGGGTATTCTCGTAGCAGGAGCAGCCGTGCCGCGCTTGCGCTTCAGTGGCCGAACCTCATCGTCTGCCTCAACAATGGCCGGCTCTTCGGCAGGAGAAGAAGCTGTTGCAGCCTCGGCAACTGGAGAGGCTTTGTCCTCGGGGGTCGGATACGACAATGCTTGATCAGCAGGTTCGCTAGGAAGATGTTAATATAGTGGCCAACTCGTCACGAACAAGGTAGTGCTTACCTGTCCAGAGCCGCTTCAGGAGCGGGTAAGACATCTTCAGAAGGCTTGACGAGTTCTGGCTCGACCGACGACTTAATTTCGCGCCCGTCGTCCCCTTCGTCGATGCTCTGTTCCGCCTTCTCTTCTCCAGCCTCAGGAACGGTAGCCATCTCCGATGCCTCCGTGGTGGCCTCCGGCGTGACTTCTACTGACAGCGCATACTCCGGGTCTTCTTCTCCTTCGGCATCCGCATCGACATCCGTGTCAGGAGTGGCATCACGTTGGTCGGCGGCGAAGTCCACGGCAGTTACACCATTCTCGTCTGCCGGGTGGCTATCTGTAAGACGTTCGGTCTCCGCTTGATCATCTTGAGTAATGGGCTTCACGAAGGGGACTTCTACGAAACACGCATCAATAATGGCATATAAGGAAGAACTAACGAGAGCTCGCGCACCTGGAGATACCTCTCGGGAGCTAGAGATGGAGTCATAGTCCTCTACAAGTTGTTCTGCAGAAGTTGCTACGTCTTCCGCAGTCGGTTCGACAACTTCTTCGATAGGCTCGACATCCTCCTCGGCAAGTTCGTCTACCTCCGGAAGGTCGGACGGGGCCTGTACCAAATCGGTCTCGGCTTCCACAACCTCATTGGGCTCCGACTGTGCTTCACTCCTCACACTACGAGTTTTAGGAGACGATTCGCCCTCAGGTGTAACAGAAGCTGAGTGTCCATCCGTTAGCGGGGTGAACAACCCACTCGGGCTACGCGTGCGTGTCTCTGCCGCGAGCTTGCGGAACAGCGGGTGCAGCGCAGCGTTCGCGGGGAGCGAGTTCGCATCGTGCCCCTCAGCACTGGGCGACGACCGCGCCGGCTCCGGGCTCGCGGGAGAGCGCGGCGTGTGGGAGAGACTGGCGGGGTCCGGCACGTCCGGATTTGCCGATATCGGGGGTGGGAAGTCGGACGACGAGCGGGTGCGCTCGAGCGCGGCGGGGGCGGCAGGCACCTCTCGCTGCTCGGACTTCGCGGTGGGGTCGCTGGCTTCTCCTTCGGTGTCCTCGGGAGCGGGATTGGGAGAGGCCTCTTCGATGAGGGGTTCACGGCTCGTGTCAGACGGTGCCGCGTGTGGAGAGGCTTCACCTTCTTCCAACACGACGTGTTCAGGTTCCTAAGAAATAGACGTCAGGGACTGAGCGACGGCAGGCACGGACAAAGGAGTGGGCGGACCTCAGTACCACGGCCTCCAGTGCTTACTTCCTCCACAAAGTACTCGGTGGTGACGAACACCTCAATGGGGTCGTGCACGGAAAAGACGTCGATGTTATCCTCGGGCGGGACGGACGACCTTATGTCGTCGTCGTCTTCTGCCTCGACGATCACCTCGGGCTCGGCAGCCGCGGGCATCTGCAGCTCGTCTTCACCAAATACTTCCTCCAGGCCCACAGAGTTCCGTGCTGGGTCCGAAGTCGCTGTGAGAATTTCGTCCTGAGCAAGCGAGCTCTCGGCGACAACTATGCCCGGGATGTCGAGAGGACCCGGAGCAGCAGGGATCTCGAGGGCAGGTGGTGCTTCAGCGCTGTCGAGCGCGTTGATCTCTTCCATCTGAGCAGGAGCAAAAGCACCCGCAAATACGGGGAGGTCGCCAAAGTCCAAGCCGGGCGGACTAATGGGCTCGAACGATGACTGCAGGGTGAATGGTGCACCCGCTGCGTTCATGTCGTAGATCTCGTCGAATTCGCTATACAACGTGGAGGCGTCTGTAACAACTAAGACGTGCTGTACACGAGACCATAAGTGGAGATGCTTACCGTTGGCCGTGTCCAGTTCGGGCAATTGCGGCTTGTCCTCCGCCGGCTCTGGTTGTGCCTCAGCCACTTCGATCGACACCGGTGGTTGCTCTGCGGCGGGCTCCAGATAAGCTGTGGCGGGCTCTGGGCTAGGCGCGAGCTCGTCTTCTTCGTCGTCGCTGATGTCAAAGACCTCTCGGTCAAGGCCCTCGATGTGCCCCGGTCGCGTCGCGACGCGTCCAGGAAACGCGGGAGGCCAGTTCCAGTCCACATGTGTCCGGAGAGTCGCGGACGGAGGGGACGGCGAGCGCTCGTCGCTCGACCCGTCTTCGTCTTGACCGTCTGCTGCGTGGGCTTCAAGGGCGGCCTCGTCGGCGTCTGCGTACAGGTCGTCAATGTCAAAAGGCCCGGGCGGGGGCGCGTTAGCCACGTCCGCCTTGGCTTCAAGTCCATTCGAGATCCCAGGGATGAACAGACCGCCTTCGTCTTTCGGTGTAAGATGTGAGGGTGTAGCGCCGTCTGCGGGATTAGGGAGGGCGTCACCGCCTGCGTAGAAGTCCTCCGCGAAGTTGCGCGGACCCTCCCAAGGGTCGGACAAGTCGGGTGTCTGAACTGGTTCGTCTACGGGCAGTTCTTCTGCGGGGTCGACCTCGGCGGGAAGCGTGTGAGGGTCTGCATCTTCGACGGTGGTGGTGGGCATGTCTCCACCGTCGTAGAAGTCTTCCGCATATTTCTTTGGTCCATCCCAGGGGTCGGGTAAATCGGGTGTTTGCATTGACTCGTCTGCAGGCAGTTCTGGGTGGGGAGAGAGATGAGCAACGTATACCTTGTGATAGCGCACTGTCGTACCAGCATCGTCCTCAGTGGGAAGGACATGAGCATTTCCGCGCTCGGTGCTGGCAGGTATATCCCCACCCGAGTAGAAGTCCTCGGCATAGGTAGCGGGGCCTTGCCAAGGATCTGCAATGTCGACAGGCTCTGCGCGCTGCTCGCGAGGTGGAAACGCTGGAGGCAGTTGAGAACGCGATGCTTTGTGAACTCTCAATGGGCTTACCGTCCGCCTCTTCCTCTTCCTGCTCCTCGTCCGCTTCCTCTTCGGAGTTCTCTCCCTCGTCTGACTCCTGAACTCCAAACTCGACAGTGGCGGGTTTCCGCTGGAATCGGGCGGGGACGGCACGCTCCTCCTCCTGCTCTTCGGGATCCTCCTGCTCTTCATCAGAGTCGAGAATCTCAGTCACTTCGTGCGCGTAAGAGTGAGCTACGCGAGACGGTCCTGCAGCGGGGCTGCTTCGTGGAGATTCGTCGACGTCGTCCTCAGACCCGGCATCGCTACCCTCGGCCTCCTCGTCATAGTCTCCCGCAACCGCAGCCACGCCCTCATCTTCGACACCTTCGTCTTCGTCTTCTTCGTCGGAAAGCAGGTCGATTACCTCTGCCTCACCGACCCGCGGTGCTTCCTCCTCACTTTCCTCACCCGACCTGCTCTCCTCGTCGGAATAATCCTCGCCCGAGTACGTCACGCCCCAACGGTCTTCTTCATCTGAGTCCTCCTGGACTGGAGGCGCCTCCGCTTCAAGATCTTCGTCTCGGGCGCGTTCCTTCCCTTTAGCCAAGCGACGCGCCTTCACCTCCGCGAAGGAGTCCTCGACGCCTTCCTCGTCGGTTGGGTGCGACGGTGCGAGTTGTACCGGCAAAGGAGCTTCTTCTCTGCCCAGTGCGCGCTTCAGCGCGCCAGTAATGTCGCCGATCCACGCGTCGAACTCGGGCTGGGTGAACTTGTCATATGGATTGTGAATGGGCGGGCGCAGGCCCTTTTGAGTGCTGCGAGGTGTCGGGTTGGGTGCGCCGGGATACCTAGGGGTTGAGTACGGACTCGCCATCGTCGGCGTAGTCTCGCGCGAGTGCGGATAGATGTGGTGGCGGAAAGAACAAGAGTTGCTGCACTCCGGAGGTGAGCCACAATGCGGGGATCTGAGATTAATTATATAATCAGCCATGTGGCTTTTTAATGAGCGCCCTCACTCTTAGCTCTTGCTTAGCTCCTCCGCTCACCGTCTTTCCTTGAGCTTGTCCTGTAATTGTTCTGGTTGCTTTCTGGCGAAGACTGTCTACTGAGAAGCTCAGCGGCCACCTAGAATATCCTGCTTATTTCCGAATGCTCAGGTCGATCCTTACGTCGACCACACGCAAGTGCCTACGCCCTACACATATACGAACTCTGCGAACACGCATGGAGCCGAAATCTTTGGACTGGCAAGCCGGCCCGCTTGTGTGGATTGACTGTGAGATGACGGGACTGGACCCGAGGACAGACAGAATAATCGAGATAGCTGTAAGTCATTCCGTCTCTGCGCGGAAACATAGGCCAGACTCTCGCAGGTTCTGATCACAAACGGGAACCTCGAAGTCATGGACGAGGGGGTCTCTTACATTATCCGAACGGATAAAGAGGTGCTCGACAAGTAAGCCGTATGCGTTTCGCCGTCATTACTGAGGCTGATACCGCGTTTAGGATGGGTGACTGGTGTCAAGACACACACGGCGCGGTTCGTGCTGATCACTTGGCCTTTCCAATTGTTACCTGATATCATTTCCCTAGAGTGGCCTGACCGAAGCTTGTCTCGACTCGCCGTATACGAAGGACTTCGTAGAGCAGCAAGTGCTCAACTACATCAAGCGATGGATACCAAAGGACCGAACTGGCGTACTCGCAGGCAACTCGGTACACATGGACAGAGCTTTCTTGGTTGGTGAGATGCCCAGCATCGTGGACTGGCTTCACTACCGGTAAGTCCGGCCTTACTTTGTGATGTGATAACAACTAACGTGTATCGTGCTGCAGGATAGTTGGTGCGCCGCTTTTAGGGTCCGTCGTATATACCTCACTAAACATATCATTTTCATTTTCATAGATGTGTCGTCAATAAAAGTACATGAAAGAACATTACTCAACTACGTGGGCTAATCTAATCTTCATAGGAAATTGCACGTCGTTGGTACCGCACATCATCGCCTTCCACCCCTTATCAGGAACCTGCCCACAGGTGTGCCTCGACCGACTTCTACCATGTTGCAACATGTACCTTAGCTTACCATATCCACCACAGGGCTCTAGACGACATTAAAGGGTCGATACGAGGTAAGTGACGTTGGACGCTACGCACATTGACCCCACATTGACGATTCCGTCACAGAACTTCAGTGGTACCGGAAGAATCTCTTCCTCCCGCCAAATTTGGCACCGCCGGTTGAGTTGGGTCGTCGGTACTGAACCCCTCTTATGCACGTTGCCTCCGATGTCGCCGCGAAGTGTATATCGATCCACGCGCAGACGACCACCCTCCCATGTACGTGCGACGAAGATCACACTCGCAACAGTCTTATGTGCGTTTTCTCAGTAGATTACATGTTGACATCCCGCAGGAAAGCCGTACAACCGCCCCATACACAGTGGAGCTTGACGAGGGCTTCCTCATCCAGGTGTGGCTATAGCGAGAATCAGCAGCTTGACATGTATGGACTCTGTCCCGAAGAACTTCCTTTTGATAGGCAGCGCGGCGTTCATCGTCCATCCGAGTACCTCATCTCATGACCATGGCCTTCTCCCTCCTCCTTTTTCGTCCCGCATCCGAGATGGGCCCAACCTCCGGTCATTCAACCTTCTAACTAGCGCGTTACCATCCAGTATTCGTAATTTCTGGGTGGTTGCACGCTCGACCTGCTCCAGACGATGCCTCGACGACGACTCCAGAACACCAGCTTACGGCAGCACGTTGGGAACATGCGGGGAAATCATTCCCCACCCCCGCCAGCTGCCCCCGCACTCACCTCGCGAACGCCCCCCGCACAAAGCCAATCACCTTCAATCACGCACGCCCACGGGCCCGTCTTCTCGAGGCCTCGACATCAACACCTATCGCAGGTGTCATGTATGGGCGCCGCGCTATCCAGATGCCTATCTAGGCGACACCAGTGAAATTCTGAACATAGTCCGTCCATACCAGGCAAGCGGCGGGACGCAATTGAGTAAAGCGGAGACGTTTATCCGAGAATGCAGGGCGCGGAGACGAACGTCATTGATTCTGAAGGCGGCTCGCCCGAGGTTGAGCCTGCATGCTCGACGTCGACCTGGGCACCGAACATCTCGGAGGAATGGGACAGGAATAGCGGCTGATTGAGGCTGCGAAGGTCGGTGCTGCTTTGTGGACAGGGACAGGATGGACGCTTTATGGGAGTCTCGTTCAGCGTTCAACCTCCGGCGATGCTGATGCCTGAGGCCTGAGGCCTGAGGTCTGAGCGGCAAGCTACAAAGTTCGAAACGCTTCTCGTCCTGCTAAAAAGGGAGCGTGCTGAATCGCTAAAGGCAATCTCAATCTCGATCGCCGGGTGCCTTGGGGGTGCGCCCCAAGTGAAGCGATATGCTGTTCAACGACAAGGGCCGTCGTGCAGCAACACAACGAGCTTATGGATTGTGGCCAATGACTGACAGGCAGCGCTGCGGCACCTCAAGATATGGTAATTGGTATGGCGTACGCTGTTAAGTTCGGTTCCCGGTTCTACTCGGTACAACGCACGAGGGCCTGTCATAGGACAGGCGCCCGCATATATATACCTCACTCCTCTACCTACAGTGCCTCAGTTGGTTCCACGCCTTCTGAGGTACGTATCCCCCGCTATCTTCCCCCTAACGTTCACCATACTCATGTACCCCGTCAGTCCCGTCTGACCAGTGTCTAGGTACATATCAATGAGTTGGTTCCACGCCTTCTGAGTCCCGTCTGACCAGTGTCTAGGATCTAACAGGTTATGAGCTTCCTCGTTTGATCCACGACGACCAAACACCTAGACTCCAGTCAAGACCACGCTCGCGTGAACCCCCGCACCCACAGACGTGTGCATTTCTCTTTTCGCGTTTCCCCCGCGCTCGTTGCTACTTTCCTCGTCTCGCTCCCCTCGTCGTTCTCGACGACTTCCACACCGTCGGCGGACGGTTCGTTTTCATTCCTCTTCACATTTTCAACATGTCACCTTCCTCCGAGGAGGCCGCGATGATGGAGTCCGTCACAGCTCTTCTTCTGGACGACACACCCCACCCCGTCACCGCCACCCCCGCACCGATCGCTCATGCCTCGGCCGCGGCGGAGCCTGTCGACCCCGATCTGATCACGCGGACTCTCATCCCCGCGCACTTCCTCAGCAAGATCGCCATGGATGAGCTCCTCGACCTCACTGTCGGGAACTACATCCTCTGGTCGCGTCGCGTCTACGACACGCTCTCCCTCTGCGGTGACCTCATCTCCTACGTCGATCCCCTGTACACTCGCCCGGACCCCGTCGCTCGGCCCGCGAGCGCTCGCGCCTGGACCGCCAACAACCATCATGTCCTCTCGTATTTGCGCATCCAGTGCTCTGCCGACGAGCGCGAGCATCTCGCCGACATCACCCTCGCGTCCGAGCTCTGGACGTTCCTGCACGATCGTCACCAGAACCGCGGCCCGCACGTCCAGGTCCTTCTTCTCCGGGACCTCCTGCAGCTTCGCTTCGACGACGCCAAGCCGCTCGTGCCCCAGGCCCACCAGTGCATCACGCTCTGTCGGCAGATCATCACTATGGGCCCCCTCAATATCGACTCTCTCGCGAAGGTCGCTCTTCTGCACATGATGCGCGACGGTCAGATCCACATCCAACGCTCGATCGCCGATGCTCTCGCCCGCGCCACTGTGGCTGCTCCATACACCGTCCCAGACATCATCAAACGTCTCGAGATGGAGCAGACTATCCGCGCCGATACCAAACCCGGCTCTGGATTGACTACGGACCTCGCTATGTCCGCGCAACCCCAGCGCGGCAACGGCCGCGTTCCCAAGCAATGCAGCAACTGCAAGCGTCAAGGTCATGTCACCGCCGATTGCTTTCAGCCCGGTGGTCCTATGGAGAAGCGCCGTTCCGAAGTCGAGGCTCGTGTCGCCGCGCGCAAGGCCGCGCGTGCGGGCACTGCTCCTGCCGCTGCTCCTGCTGCCGCTTCGTCCGGTCCGCGCAAGTTCTTCGACGCGACCGGAAAGGCTTTCTTTCTGACTACTGTCGCTCCTGCTGGCTCTTCTGAGGTCGCCCACTCTGCCGCTTCAATCACTGAGGTTCTTGACGACGGTCCCACTCAGCTTCCGTCTGACGACATCCCTCCTGAGTGGCTCACTGATCTGGACACCTTTGGCGACATGCAGTACGAGTCTTACCTCGCCACCGCGGACCCTTTCCATGTCTCTGCGGCCTGGGACTCTGCCTACGCCGCCACCTCCGCCACTGTGGAGCCGTTCCTCTTCGATTCCGGCGCGTCGACGCATCTTAGCCCCGTCCGCGAGGATTTCTTCGAGCTTTCCCCCATCGCGCCCCGCGGCATTCGCGGTGTCAACGGCAGTGTCATCTTCGCCACAGGCATTGGCAAGATTCGCCTGTCTCTCGGCCGTGGCAAACATCTCATTCTTGACCACGCCCTGCACGTTCCCGCCGCCTCTGTGCGCTTGATCTCTGTCCGCGCTCTCTGTGACGGTCCGCACGGCTATCTCGTCGGTTTTGACGCTACTGGTGTCACTCTCCGGAACCGCAGCGGCGCCGCTTTCTTCCGCGGCACTCGCGTCGGCAAGGGCCTCTATTCCCTGTCTGGCATTCCTCCCTCCATCGAATCCGCTTTCGCTGTCTCCCGCGTTCCGACTCTCGAAACCTGGCACCGCCGTCTTGGACACGCCAACTACCGTGCAACGTACACCGTCGCGACCCAGGCTCGCGCTGCCGGTACGCCCGTTAACCTATCCCTCCTCCCTTCCAAATGTGACCATTGCATTCTGGGCAAGCAGACTCGCTCGCCTGTGCCTAAGGTCCGGGAGGGGGTTCGGAGCACGGAACGGGGGGCGACCTACTACATAGACGCGACTGGGGACCAATGTACCCGGTCTGCCAGCGGCAATATCTGTTCCCTTGACATAATCGATGACTTTTCGTCTTTCGGCTGGGCTTTTCCTCTCCGGTCCAAGGGCGACTGTTCGTCGACCCTTCGGACCTTCCTCATCGCTCGTCGCGCGGAGGGTTGCCCTGTTCGCCGCATCATCACGGACAACGGCGAATGTGTCACGAAGGAGATCAAGGCCGTCTGCGCCGAGCTGGGTGTTCGTTTCGAGTGGACTGCCGCGGAGACCTCCGCTCAGAACGGAAAGGTCGAGCGTGCTCATCGCACCTACCTTGGCAAGTCGCGCGCTATGCGCATCGCCGCGAAGGTTCCTGAGAACCGCTGGGACGAATTGTACGTCACCGCGTGTTACCTCACGAACCGGACCCCCTCTTCCTCTCTCCCTCGCGGCGTCAGCCCCTACGAAGCTTGGTACGGTTTTCCTCCCTCTTTTCGCCACATTCGCGAGATCGGTTGTCGCGCTTTCGTACATATTAATACTCACAACCCTAAACTTCGCGCCCGCTCTTTCGAGTGCATCCTTATTGGTTACGGTTCTAATTCCAAAACTTATCGTTGTTATCACCCCTCTACTCATCGCGTCATTTCTTCCTATCATGTCTCTTTTATTGAGTCTCACGAGTCGTCCGCCGCGACTCCTTCCGCGTCACCCCCTTCCGCGCCTCCGAGTGCCCCCTCCCCTTCCGCTCCTGCGTCTTCCTCTTCCCCCTCTCCTCTCATTATCTCCGCGCCCCCTTGGGAGGATGATCCCGTTTTCGTACCCTCCGTTCCTCATACCGCACCGTACCCACCCCCCTCTCTTCTTCCTGTCGTGCCACCTCCCGCGTTGCCCGCCGTTCCACCGGCGCTTCCTCTCCCCGACGCGCCCCCCCCTCCTCACGTGACCGCGTCGTCGGTGGCTGATCCTTTAGCTGTCCTTCCCGCTGCTCCCGCTCCTGCGCTACGCTCTTCCTCTCGCGCTAGGCAACCTACTGAACGACGTGCTATCGCTGATGGTCTCCCCTGGGTTACTGCTTTGGAACGCGCTGTCGCCGACTGCAAGGCGAGCTCTGCTCGCGCCGCCGCCGAACGTGTCGCTCGCCACGACGCTCGTGTTGAGGCTGACATCGCCAACTTCACCGATCTTGATTTGGCTCTCGCTGCTTCTCTTCAACTTGACAGCAACTACGAAGGCGACCCCACCTCCCTGAAGGACGCTTTCGCGAGCCCTTTCGCCGCCGAGTGGCGTGCCGCCCTCGACGAGGAGTTCACCTCCATCAAGGACCTCGGTGTGTACAATCTCATCCCGCGTTCATCTGTCCCCGACAAGCGTCGCATCATGCACGGGAAGCCCGTCTTTCGCCTTAAACGCGACGAGAACGGCAATCCCGTTCGTTTCAAAGCGCGCTGGGTCTGCAAAGGTTACGAGGCCGTTTGGGGCCAGGACTATTATAGTACCACCTCCCCGACGATGCGCCTTGAGTCTTTCCGCGTGCTCGTGCACCTCGCTGCCTCTCTTGACTGGGACTTGCATCAGGTCGATGTTAAGACTGCCTTCCTCTACGGGACTCTTCCCGACAACGAGATTTGCTATATGGAGCAGCCTCGGGGTTTCGAGATGCCCGGCAAGTCTGACTGGGTCTGGGAGCTGCGCAAAGGCTTGTACGGCATGCCGCAGGGCGGCCGCACCTGGAACCGGACCATGCATGACCACCTCGTCGCTGTCGGTTTCTCTCGCGTTCCCAGCGAATACTGCCTGTACCACCGGACTACCGCTGAGGGCACCGTGATCACCGGCGTGCACGTCGACGACTTCCTCGCCATCGCCAGCTCTCCCGCCGCCGGTGCTCTGTTCAAAGCCGACCTGCGCCGTCAATGGAACATCTCCGATCTCGGCGAAGCGAAGTTCTGCATCGGCATCGCCATTGCCCGCGACCGCGCTTCTCGCACGTCCATGATCTCCCAGACGGCCCTCATCGACCGCATCGTCTCCCAGTTCGGCCTCTCGGATGCCCACCCCGTTCTCACTCCTATGGAGACCGACTGCAACCTCTCCCGTCTCCACGACTCTCCGAAAACTGACGAAGAGAAGGACGCCGCGAGCACTTGGCCCTACCGTGCTCTTGTCGGGAGTCTCAACTACGTCGCGGTCGGCTCGCGCCCGGACATCTCTTTCGCCGTGCAGCAGCTCTCTCAGTTCCTGGACTGCTACGGTCGGAACCACTGGGAGGCCGCCAAGCGCGTCGTCCGATACCTGAAAGGCACTCGAACTCTCGCCCTCCACCTCGGAGGTTCTCGCGCCGCGTTCCTCCTGGGCTACACTGACTCGAACTACGCGCGCTGCGCGGACTCGCGCCGCTCCGTCGGCGGTTACTGCTTCTCTCTGGGTTCTGGGATGATCTCCTGGGCGGCACGTAAGCAGCCTACTCCGAGCGGCTCTACGACCGAGGCTGAGTACATCGCCGCGGCGGAGGCTAGCAAGGAGGGCGTCTGGCTCCGCAGCGTTCTCCTCGCCATCGGACACGAACAGACCCGCCCCACGCCCCTCGCCGTTGACAACAGCGCTGCGGTCACCCTCGCCGGCGATCCCACCCACCACTCCAAAACGAAACACATCGACGTTAAGCACCACATTATCCGCGACTACGTCGCCACCGAGCAACTGCACGTCCACTGGATCCCCACTGACGATAACGTCGCCGACATCTTCACCAAGCCCCTCGCCGGCCCCAAGTTCACCATGTTTCGCGGGTGCCTCGGGCTCCGCTGAAGGCCAGGAGGAGTCTCTCTACGCTGAGGAGGAGTCTCTCCACGCTGAGGAGGAGCCTCTCCGCGCTGAGGAGGAGTTTCGGTTGTATGGAGGAGGAGTTCTGTTTCTCGGTCTTCTCCCGGTTGCGTTCTCGTTTCGTTTCTTATGCTTCTCTCCCCCCCACACCTTGCTTCTCGCCACGTCTGTGCCATACTACCACTCCTCGATATTCACACTGTCTTTCATTCTCTCCCCGTTCTCTCTCTCCCTTTACTCTGCGTTGATATCCTCGCTGAGGAGGAGTGTTAAGTTCGGTTCCCGGTTCTACTCGGTACAACGCACGAGGGCCTGTCATAGGACAGGCGCCCGCATATATATACCTCACTCCTCTACCTACAGTGCCTCAGTTGGTTCCACGCCTTCTGAGGTACGTATCCCCCGCTATCTTCCCCCTAACGTTCACCATACTCATGTACCCCGTCAGTCCCGTCTGACCAGTGTCTAGGTACATATCAATGAGTTGGTTCCACGCCTTCTGAGTCCCGTCTGACCAGTGTCTAGGATCTAACATACGCCGTGCACAGCTGATTACAACTGCTGTCGTTCGCTCATGGGCTACAGAGTGCGGTACGCTCCTTGCCGTTGTGGTGTGGGCATTCATCCTCGATTCCCTGTGTTGGCTGACTTGAACTGTCAACATAGTCCGACGTAATCCGAGCTCTCGGCATCGGCTAGGAGCGGCTCGCACCCATATCTACGTCCTCCGCCACTTGCCCAACACAACCGAAACATTGGGAGACATGGCGACGCGCATGGATGCTGCCTGTGTATGACCACGGTGAGTTTGATGAACTCTGAACCTGGAAGGCTGTAAGCCGCACAAAGAGAGGTCTTCAGTCTGTGAGAGAACGACTGTGATTGCATAGTACTGTACCTGTAAGCC